TTCAAATCGAATTTAAATTTGTATTACAATAATGGCATGTGAACTATAAAGTTGGAGATTCTGTTCTAATTGAATTTAAATTAGTCTTACAATAATGAGTTACATTATATGCATAGAAGCATGCCCAAATAAGTCATTAAGACTGTAGATCCGGTCCACCTTGTAAAGTGGGCGTGGGTCTAAAAATATACAATTTACATATTTAATGTTCACAATCAAATTATGAACATTCCGTATGTAAATTGTGAACCTTCAATATGTAAATTGTGTATTTTGATTTTTGAATCCGAGATTACCTTGCAAGGTGGACCCGAGTTCATGGTATAACTGTTGGGCCACCCGGGTTTAAAATTACACAATTTATATACTGAATGTTCACAATTTTGCATACTAAATATTGAGAATTTACATATTGAGTATGTAAATTATGAATATTCAGTATTTAAATGGTGCATTTTTTACTCAGGTCCACCTTGTAAGGTGGACTCAGCCCAAGTCCATGGTATAAATGTTGGGCCTAAACTCAGCAGGCCAGTATAGCGGCCCATTTACTTTGGGCCTGTAAATCGGAAAGGTCCAGTGAGTCACAGACAATCAACGGAGAAGAAGAGAGTTGAGTTGCCCGGATTGGCTAAGAAACATTTCTATAAATCCGGCAGCCGAACTGCAATTATACTATAGTATTATGATCGCTTTACGACGCGCCATGGCCCGAGCTAGCTCTGTTCTGTCGTCATCTTCGTCTTCTCTAGCTCGGAAAAGCCCTAGGTTGGCAATCACTTCTAGTCCGAAGCTGTTCAAGGAAGTGTTCTTCAGGAATCGTCTCTCTTCCCCGACACGCCTACCAAATGCTAGCATTCGCTGCTTCGCTTCCACAGCCTCTGGTACCGCTCCAGTTGAAACCAAGGATAAAATTAGAGTTCAAAATCCTATCGTTGAAATGGACGGTAAGTTTTCACAACTACACTTCAAATTTTGTATTTTATACAGATAGTAGTTGTAATATTAGTGTCTTCATTTTGTTTTTATTGAATGGCGGCAGGTGATGAAATGACGAGAGTAATATGGACGATGATTAAAGAAAAGGTATGGCTATTCATTCTCTTTTCAAATCTTATGCTGAATTGCAGTATTCTAGTTCTTTTTTGCATAAACTTTTTTTTTTCTTTTTCTCGTTTGATTCATTGCCTGTTGGACGTTGTATTTCCTTGCAGCTGATATTTCCCCATCTAGAATTAGATATAAAGTATTATGATTTGGGAATACTGAACCGTGATGCCACTGATGACAAAGTCACTATAGAAAGTGCTGAAGCTACTCTTAAGTAAGTCTTATCCATGCTCTGGAGCTCAAATGCAATTGTTTCCCTGAATTTTTTTTTTTTGGTCAGTGTAGTTTTAGTGGTGCAAATGATCTGGAGGATTGCTGTTGTTATTGTCATCATTAAACACTTCTCTTTAATTCATCCAAGGAATTTAAACCAGAAGATGCCCAAGATACTATGCACTAATCAGACAAAGATGTACCTGAATATTTCTCCAAAACATGAAATCTGCTTAACAAAAAATTACATGTTTCATAGAATTTGATCATTGTCCTATGTATAATGCAGGTATAATGTTGCTATTAAATGTGCTACAATTACTCCAGGTCAGTTCTCTGCATCCGTTTCATGCTTTCTTTGTTTTCAGCTATACTATTCAAAGTATGAAAAGGAAAGGGGGAAGTAACTGGTCTACATCACTGAAATTTGCCAATAAAAAGTTCAAATAGTGAATAAATTTTATCTCTGTCCTTGTAGATCTGATTTTGAGGCTTTATTGTGTAGATTACACGACATTCTGTTGCATGAAGTTCATTATAAACTTGCAACTAGAGAAATATTTTCCATCCATGTCAATGCACATTTGTTGTTTCAGATGAGACCAGAGTCAAGGAATTCGGACTGAAGTCTATGTGGAAGAGTCCCAATGGCACAATAAGAAACATTTTGAACGGTACATGTGCAGTCTCTAATGTTCCACATTTTGCAATAGGAAACTATTGATGCATTTCTAAGATGTTCTATGATGTTTTAAATCTTAATTTCAAACCAATTTAGCTTGTGATATCTTATATTCCATCTAGCTTGGATAAGTGGATATCTCCCCACCAAGATAGAGTTCAAGTAAACAAAACCTAATGATAACTTCTTACTAGGAACAGCTAAGATGTGACTGCAATTCTGCAGCACTTGTTGGGAAGGCTTCTATGGAATGTTATGCATTGCTTGAAAGTGGCTATTGCAGAGTTTATGAGAATGTCATAATCTGAGGTTGTCAATTGAGTGTCATGTTATAATTGTTAGATACAAAACCTACCAAACAAATAACCTCTGATGATGCTTATCAGGTGCACACACCTCAATGGTTTTCTGGCCTAGGGAGACAAAGAACTTTAGGATCTTGCTAGGCAAAGGGTTTCTATGCAAGCATTCACAACGGCAATTATTTTTCCTTTCATCTTGCACTTTTCATATTTGTTTATAAATGTAAGTTAATTACCTTCCTTCAGGTACTGTTTTCCGTGAGCCTATCCTATGTAAAAATATTCCAAGAATTATTCCTGGTAATGTTCTGTTTTCCAGCTTTGAGTGTAATTTTCAGATGTTACAATACTTTTATAGGCTATAGCTTAGCTCTCAGTCTTGCAGGTTGGAAGAAACCCATTTGTATTGGTAGGCATGCTTTTGGTGATCAATATCGTGCCACTGATACTATTATTAAAGGAGCAGGAAAGCTCAAAATGGTTTTTGGTGAGCTAACTCCATTTTATACTGGTAGTATAGTACTTACGAAGATGTACTTAAGCCTTTTCTTCTTCATTATTGTTCATTACCAGAGCCTGAAAATGGGGGAGCCCCGGAGGAACTTGATGTCTATGATTTCAAAGGCCCTGGTGTTGCCCTTGCTATGTATAATGTTGATCAGGTATGTGGTCTTGTAGCTTGACATGTCTTCAAAGTATTATTTAGTGCTCTTTCCTTCTGAATTCATTTTTCCCTTTCCTTTTTTTCTTGATGGTGCAATTTGTCAGTCAATTCGTGCATTTGCTGAATCATCAATGGCATTGGCATTTTCAAAGAAATGGCCCCTTTACTTGAGCACAAAAAATACAATTTTGAAGAAATATGATGGAAGGTAACTTCAGATTTAATCTTGCCCTTGGGGATGGGGTAAATTTCTGTTTCAAGAAATGAACAAAATTCTAATTTTTGGATAATATTTTATGAATATCCAGTTTTTGTCAACCAAGAAACTGATACTAGTACTTTGTTTTCTATTTGCACCAGGTTCAAGGACATCTTTGAAGAGGTATATCAGGAGAAGTGGAAAGCGAAGTTCGATGAACACTCAATATGGTTAGTTTACAGTCCTAGTAAGCTATGCTTCAGATTTAAATTCTTAGATATCTTATATTGATCTTCAGAATGATGTGGCTGACATTTAGGTATGAGCACCGCTTGATAGATGACATGGTAGCTTATGCAGTAAAAAGTGATGGTGGCTATGTTTGGGCATGCAAAAATTATGATGGAGATGTGCAGAGTGATTTACTTGCTCAAGGTGAAGTATTTCGAGCCTGATTAGCATATAATAGTTTTTTGAGTGAATGATTGTTGCAATTCCCTTGATATGAGATATATTAATAGGATCAAATTAAATCATTACTCATCAAACTACTCCAAATGAAGTTGATTCTTTCACTTTTCTATGCAGGATTCGGTTCTCTGGGCCTTATGACTTCTGTTTTGGTTAGTGATTTATCATCATTACATCCTTCCCTGTTATGGAATGTGTATGTATCTGTTGGATTCCTATTAAATAGAGCAATATGTGTGGCGTTCTTTGCAGTTATCTTCTGATGGCAAAACTTTAGAAGCTGAAGCAGCTCATGGAACTGTAACTCGTCACTTTCGGCTGCATCAGAAGGGACAAGAAACCAGCACAAATAGTATTGCATCCATTTTTGCATGGACCAGAGGACTAGGACATAGGTATCCCCTCAAAAACCAAGTCATCTCATTACTTGTATTTGAGGCCAAAAACTGTTCATTAAGTTCTTTTTTGGTATTAAATTTGGGCATTTCACTAGTTAGTGAAAGTTTGGAGCAGGATCGTATGCACTTACTAGCTATATATACCTTAGTTATTGTCTGTGCTAGTAAGGCCCCTTAAAAAGAAAAAGAACTAGTTTTCTTGATAATGCTTATTTCATTAATTTGCTTTTTGTCTTGTACAGGGCTGAACTTGATGAGAACAAGAATTTAATGGATTTTGTTCAGAAACTAGAGGCTGCTTGCATTGAGACAGTAGAGTCGGGGAAGATGACCAAGGATCTTGCACTGTTGAATCATGGACCCAAGTAAGTAGCACCACACTGTTACATTAATTGGTTAGGTACTGTCGGAAACTTCTTACGGGGATAATGGTTCTTGGTGCAGGGTATCAAGGGAGTTATACTTGAACACTGAAGAGTTCATTGACGCTGTAGCACAGAATCTCAGGTCTAAGATCGGCTCTCCTGCACTTGCATGAAATTATATGTATACTCCCCGTGATTGCACTTTGGAAAGCCTAGAGTTAAATACAGAGCAGACAGACCATTCACAGCAATACATGGATGAGACTATGAGAGGAAGATAGTTTTGACATTGACTTGCTTTTGGTTCCTTCTCACAACATATATAATTTATCCCATCCAATCCACAGAAAGGTTCCCAAATCCTTTAGGTAATGGATTCAAATCAATTTGAACTAAATACTTATATATTTTTCAGAGCACGATGATTTTAATAAAATGCTTGATATTTTGAGATGCTGAAATTTTTTAGTTCCTGCTTATAATTTCCATTCACAGGGGGATTGGAACCAATAAAAATACGAATGAGTTGAAAGGATAGGGCCTAGGGGGGGTAGCAAAAGAAAAGATAGTAAAAAAAATCATAAAAGAAGGAAGGTTTATGGGTGTAGGATTTTGACTAACTCCTGTAAGTTGGCCTCGTAAAGTTTGGCAATCCTGAAGGCTTCCTGAAGATGAGAGAGGTTGAACATTCTCAGCGTTGCCCTAAATTCTCCTCTGAGACCAGAAATGAAACACTGCGTGAGATATTTATCTCTTGAACCTTCTTCTTCTTCAAGCACAAAGCTCAGCAGACCACACAGTGCTTCGAATTCTTCCGTATATTTTCTAACACTGGCTGTCTGTCTCAAATTTCTGAAATCATCAAACAAGTCTCCCTCGTCAAATCTGCAGAGAATCGCCTTCACAAAACCTCGCCATTGCAGATTCTCCTTCCCCTCCTTCATGAACTGCTGAATCCAAACCTCCGCCTCGCCCTCGAAATGCTGCGTGGCGTACAACACCTTCTGATGCTCAGTGAAACGGGAGTAGATCCGGAAAAACCTCAAGCACTTGATGATCCATCCTCTAGGCTCCGAGCCGTCGAAGCAAGGGAAGGGTACACGAACCTCCTCCAACCTTGCCTCGTTCATTCTCTTCGTCACTTCTTCCACTTTGGCTTCCAAGCTATTTATCTTTGCTCTAACCTCTTCCTCCATCTTACTCACTCTATGGTTCACGCCATCAACTAATTCTTCAATGATTTTCATCAATTCCTCCATGGTTACTTTTCTTGAGTTGCCACAAAGAGAAGATAGAGAGGGAGTGCACACAAAATATTTCTCCTCAATCCGTGTATATATAGGACGATGCTGCTTCTAGTTCTAGATAATCTCATAATCACCTCCCCAACCCTGGCGGGAGCGGTTACTTGACCGACGCTATTTTAATTTATACTCCGTTCGGGAAAATCAATTTATATATCTATTGACTGTTGTGAGTGTTGACCTATACCCAAAAAAACAATGACCTATTTGTGGCGATTATGCTTTAATAATTAGTTATCTTTCCTAGTTTATAGGAAAGCATATATATTGTTCCTAATTTATAGGAAAGCACTATCAATTATTATTTTACTTTTCTCTCTCTCTCTGTTTGATTACTTTTGGGTTAACAAAATGTAGAAAGCCTTAACCTGCAACACTATTTAATATTTCCATTCTTTCCATTTAATAATGATAATAATAATAATGTGCCATCATGTAAATGATATAAATATATTTTCACTTATAATGCATCAATCAATCAAACATGTAACACTCTTAACTGAGAGGTCATGAGTTTGATCCTAGTGAGACGGTATTAACTCTAAAAAGTAACTATAAATAGATACCATATTGTAACAAAGTCAATAATACTAAAAAAGAAACAAACAAACAAACATGAAATTATTATAACGCTCTTAATATTTATTAAGAATTCGTAAATAAATGGGACTTAAGTATCATAATCTATTTATCTTGAAGTAAAACACACAAAGATCAATAACACTCTAATTTTACCGTGTGTACACTTATGAAGGAAATAAATTACACTTCAATAAAAGAGATTTAGAAAAAGGTGAAAACAAGTGAACAAGAACACCTCTGTCATTGTAAACCAAAACTTAAAAAGGTTGGTTTCTGCCGACTCCTATAAAATGTAATGTGGAACTCTTGTTTGATGCTGAAATGTGGACAAAATCCCTCAAATTTCTTGTACAATGTTGACACTGAAATTCAGCATCATCCTGCAACTCAAATAACAGTGCAACTCTTTCTTAACTTATGAAAGGTTTTTAGAATAAAGCACCAAACACTTTGCTATGAAACAACACCTGCTTGGGTTTAACATCTCATCTGAGGGAAGATTGAGGGGACCATTTTGACAATATACTTCTTTTGAGTTTAACAAGAAATACAACTACCCCATAGCAGGGGAAATGCATTAATGCGACCACCAAATACCTGTCAATCAATAATTACAAAGGGGCAATAGAAGTCAACAGGTTATTTAAGAATAAACTCGAGCAAATGGAAAGAAAGAAAACGTAAAACAAGGAGAAGACTGGACATGCTATATCAAACACATTTCATAGCTGATCCAGCACAGCAAATACATTTCTCTTTGTTTCTTGAAAGGAATTAACAAACTCTTATAGAAAAATATAACTCATGAAATAATCATAAGATCAAAAAGTTGCTGTTGTTATTTTGCCTAAAACTAGTTGTCATAGAAAACCTAATGCAAAAAAACATACCACAAGGGAGCAGATGTTAAGGATAAGTCAAGAAATGGGTATGGCCACCTGTAAGAATGAGTTACACATAAGAACTGTGAAGTATATTCTTCTTTTCAAATCAAATGGGAATAAAATGTTACCAAGTTGATACACAGGCATGAACACTCCATTGGAAAATGACATAAATACCAGTCCATATGAGAAAGTAAGCAATCCGGAACCAAGGGAATTGCTGGCAGGAGATTTCAAAATAGTTCATAAATGATCTATGAAACAAGTGAGATACAAATTAAATTATTAAAACAACCAAAAAAAATGATCAGAAGTAGCAATTTACCAAGCAATTCATTGCTATATCACCGAGAAGCAGGATACCATTAAGTGTATGTGCAACCACCGTCAACTAGCCAAAAGAAAACATTGTTGGAGATATAATTGTGATATGAGAAATGATATATTTACAGTTTCACAAGAAAGGGCTTAATCACTACAAGTCTTTGTAACTTCTAAAGAAAACTTATAACATATAATTTACAAATATTTAACTCCATAAGCAGTAGAAGGAAATCACGAAAGATCCTGAGGAACCAGAGGGGTTATATAAAAGAGCAATCACTTACAAAACTCAAGTCATAATCTTTGATAGTAAGAAATGGGAAAATGACAGTCCAGTACAGAATATCTGTAAGCATCACCGATCCAGCAGTCATCTGCATTTAGAAATGACAATTTTAGAAAATCATACAAGTTATTTACTGTAAAATGATGCAACTATGGTGGAAAGGAATCAATTTCTAAGTATTCAACTGCAAAAGTAGCACCAGTAAGGAAACTCTAGTCCATATAATTTGTTGAACTGTTCAATGATCTACAATTATAACCATAGTGGAAATGCATTAATTTCTAAGTACTCTGCTGTAAAATTAGCATCATTAAACCTCATAACATTCTTTGAAGGTAATCTTATTGTGGGAATCTTAAGCAAATGTTCACACTTTAATAATGGAAGAAAGAGATTGTGAGCATTAAAGGGTAGTATAGGTATAAGCCAATACATGGGTATTTTAACGAGTATACCTGAAAGAAAATTTGAAAGACGTAGCCACATAGTCCAATACTTTTTGGAACGAGAAGTTTCCTATGGAAGTCCCCAGTTTTCACTCCGTGCAGATATCCTTTACCAGAGAGAGCTATATGCAAACCTTGCTCCTCATCCATCCGTATACAATCACTGAAATTGTTTGTTGTTTTGTAATGGAGGTAGCACCCATAAATAGAAAACAGTGATCCAAACTACATTGTAACACAAAGACACGGGATAAGGAAAAGATACTTTCAGGAACTGCCTAGTGAGTATGTCTAAGTCAAAAAATAAAAATAAAAATAAAAATAGAGTGCTCTTGGAAACTGGAAGAGGCAGTCAAGCATGCTACATACCAGAAAGTAAATGGTAACCAACATAAATGTCCACCTGTGCAGAAGAATAAATAAATAATAATTAAGTAAGAATCACCAACGAGGAAAATATCATCATATATCCAGTTTTATAGCTTTTTATAGAAGATTAGATTAGATACTCTACATATAAGGTGCTCCTTTGGAGTCTTCAATATTTTTATTTAAACTAGCAGATAGCATAGGTCATTGAAAATCAACTAACACTTGCAATGGCACTAACTACTGAAAAAACTTGCACCCCAATATCACTTACTGAGTATAATAGAAAAACAGGTCAGCACCATGAACAACGACATCAGCAGTAAGTGCTGCTGCCAGTAAAATAAATGCAACTAATCGGAAAACCATCAAAATAACTGGGTGTAATTCTTTCACACATGGTCTCCAAGCCTCATCAAACCAGAAAAGCCAAGATTTCTCTTGCCACTTATCCCTTCCATCGGATTCAGAATTGTCCCCTGCTGAAGATTCATATTTCCATATTAAAACTAGTCCTAAAACTATGGACGTCAAGACCCATGTTGCACAGAGCACAGCCCTCCAATTCCACCAATAACTTAGGGTAGTACTGTCAGCAGCCACCATGAGTTGTTGCATCCTGTCGAAGATGCAACCTTACTTTCACTTCCTGCAATCAATAACTGTAAGTTTTTAAATGTTACAAAGTTGACATATGCATCATTGGACATGTTGCAAATGCACAATGAGCATTGAGCAAAAGTTGAAAAATCAGGCATAGGCAAGGTGATCATTAAGACAAAAAACAAAATATTGATTTGACAGAAGTTTGCAGCCCCAACAAAAGCAGCAGTCTCTTTTTCCAACCAAATTACTAACTTGGAAAACCACAAAGCTTTTGGCTCAGCTCCACTGGAGAGCAGGATAATTCCCTTTTGAATTCAGGAAAGTTACATAAATTTATGTATTTGATGAATGGAAACAGAGATATACACGAGGTAGGTAGCATATAATAGTCTAATTAATTTCTCAGCAACCAGAACCAGAAGGCGGGTGACAATATGTGCACTGACGGTGCATATACCAACCAATGAAACTTAATTTCAGCACATATTAGTGCATAAATCACATTATTAATCATGTTATCTGAAATCGACGACCGACAAAAAATGCTCAGATCATTTCTATGTAGTTACAGCGCAATAAAGCCTTTCAAACAGGATCCTACATAGCACAATATAGCATTTAGAAATAAATAAATCCACCATAGCATAGCAGTGTATAGTATACATCGACATAAACAAATGCTAGAGTGCGTAATGAGTACTTAGCGGGACGAACAAGTTCAGAGATCAAATGGTAGTTTTCTACTTGCCTTAGTCTGATCTCAGAATCACAATGACCGGACTGCAGAGGATGGCGAAGCTGTGCGTGGTGGCGCCGCCGCCGGGGAATGGGGGACGACTTTGTGCGTTGGAACAGGTAAAAATGTTTTCCTCGTTTATTATTTCTTATTATTATTGCAACAGTTGAAGAAGAAGAGGAAGCGTCTGGTTTATTCCGTTCTATATTTTATTATTATTATTATTATTATTATTTATCCATTTTGACTAATTTTTAATACTTTTTGGCTTTCCCCGTCAGTTCGTAAGACGTTATGACGTTAACACATGTCGCCTCCGGCCATTGGTATCTGATAATTTTATCGTCTTCACGTGGTGGTATAAATATTTTGGATCGTAATTCACGAATCCGCATTACTTATTGTATTAAATATATCGTTTGAAAAATTGATGAACTATCCACAACAAACGCTGTCGCATTTTACACGTGGCACGTGACTGTGGCTTTTTATATTTGGAAGTTATGTAGCATCATTCTGAGTTGGAATCTCATCCACACTACGCAATTATTGTTATTGTTTTCTTCTTCTTCTTTTAAACTTTGACCCGGCATGGAAGGCAAATTATTGTACGGACCGTGGTTCACACATTGTTATGTGGATCATAATAAAAAGTACATTTTTAATATATTGAATGTATATTATTTTTTATTGAATGTATATTATACAATATAATGTACACTCAATAAAAAAAATAATATACATCTCCTGAATACAATATACATTATTTTTATACTGAATGTACATTATTTTACAGGGAAAATCGTAATTTATGCCCCTCACAAATATGCCAATTATCAATGTTACCCCTGAATTATTAGTGGTGTAAATGTTACCCCTCAATTATCAAAACGTGATATATATTGCCTCTCCCCTAACAGAACGGTGAGATTCCGTTATAAAGTTCCGTTTATTAAGGTTATTTTAGTAATTTTCAATTCCCACTTATTTTTTTTACTAAAAAATTAATAAAAATAAAAATGAAAATAGAAAACCAGAATCCTCTCTCTCTGAATTATCTCAACGCCTCCGATCCCTCCATTGTCGCCGCCCTACGTCGAGCTTCCATCGTTTGGTTCCGGAACAACCTCTTTATGCTGACAGTGTTTCATTCAATAAAAATCATGAGCTTCTCCCTCTTGATTTTTGCTTCTATTTTTTTCGTTTTCTCCTATAGTTTTGTCAGATTCTTCGTTTACACCTGAAGCCATACCCCATATTTTCCTTAATTTTACCAAGAAAACCGAGGTTTCCGATTAGATAGTTGGGATGTGGCGGAAGATACATGAAAAATCTTGAGTTGAAGTTCGAGGAATTTGTCAACAATAAGCTTATTAGGAAAAAATTTGGATGAATTGGGGATTCCTTACAAGTACCAATTTGCAGGAACGGGGGTTGTTGAATTCGTTGGTTCGGGAACCCCTCCCCCTTTGTTGCCTTAAGAGCAGACATGGATGCTCTTGCCCTGGAGGTAGGCTTCAAGTTTTTCTTAGTTTGCTCCATTTCTACATGTTAAACTTTCTTGGATTTGACTGTTTTTCTTAATATTAAGAGATGCGGAGGGACAAGTGTTATGTCCACAGATTCTTGTATTGTTGGCTGTGTTGGCAAGCTTTTCACGGTTGGTGTTGGTGTTGGAGTGTGGTGGTTCTTGTACCTGTGTCTCCACTTCTTTCTATGGTGCTTTCCGGGAGATGGGGTTGGCGTGGGCGCTGATATTGGTGTCGCGACTAGCGGTGGAGTAGCCGGAGATGGTGCAAGAACTGGTGATGGCTTGGGTGGCGGCAGTAGGAGGCGGAGTTCTCCAGTCAACGTGCAGGAGGGGAAAAGGGAAAGAGAGTGGAAAAGGAAGTTACAAAATTAACCTTATTAAACCCTAAATTATAACGGGATCTCACAGTTCTGTTAAGGAGGCAATATATATCACGTTTTGATAATTGAAGGGCAACATTTACACCACTAATAATTCAGGGGTAATATTGATAATTGGCATATTTGTGAGGGGCATAAATTACAATTTTCCCTTATTTTACAGTATACAAAATATGGTTCACATAACTTATGTGGATCATGGTCCACACAATAATGATTGGGCATTGAAGCCCAAGCTCATGCATGAAGGCCGAAATCATTGACCCGTCTCAGGGGCTATTGGGCCAATTCAAGGCTCTTATAAATGGCCCATTAAGTTTGTATTGGAAAAGCCCAAATAACGCTACGAGTACAAGCCCAGTAGCTCAATTGTTAATCCCCCATTCCTTCCGTTTCCCTCTCTCCCTCCCTCGCCTCTGAGAGTATTGAATTTCTAGCCGCGGTGGCGTTGAGTATAGAGAAAAGAGAGATACTTTCTTCTTCTTCTTCTTCAGTTCAGGTTTAAGCTAAGTCTCAATGGTGCTTCAAATCGAGGCGGATAAAAGATTATCGTTTAATCGCCGCATTAAAGATGGAGATTTGGTGATTGTGTATGAAAAGCACGACGCGATGAAAGCCGTGAAGGTTTCTGAGAACGGGGTGCTCCAGAATCGTTTCGGGGCGTTTAAGCACTCAGACTGGATAGGAAAGTCGTTCGGGTCAAAAGTGTTTGGGCATAAGGGCGGATTTGTTTACCTGTTGGCCCCGACGCCGGAGCTGTGGACGCTCGTTCTGAGTCACCGGACTCAGATTCTGTACATTGCGGATATCAGCTTCGTGGTTATGTACTTGGAGATAGTTCCGGGTTGTTTGGTTCTTGAATCGGGAACGGGTAGCGGCTCCCTCACCACCTCCCTCGCGAGGGCTGTTGCTCCCACCGGACATGTTTACACATTTGATTTTCACGAACAGAGGGCTGCCTCTGCTAGGTAAACTATATTTTGGATGATTTTTTTTTTCCTTATAATATTAGTTCCTGACTTTTTTCTGCATAAATTTCCCTCCTTTTACTTTAATTTTTTCTAGATAATATTAGCACTGCTCATATATGCTGTAGCATGTCTTTCTTAGTAGATTTTCCTCTATAGTATGACTGTCTGTCTTTACTGGAAATTTCCATGTTGATTATGCCAGTTCAGTGAGTGTAAGATATATATATATATATATATATATATATATATATATATATATATATATATATATTTAACCATACTGGAAAGTCAAGGCTGTATTCTTTAACATAAAGTTAGCATTTTGAAGAATTATTGTACTTCTTTTTGAGTATTTAATAGCTATAGCTCTCATAGAGCATACAGAAAAAGAAGAAAAAGAATGCTTCCATATGTATATATGATGTTGTATTGTTTTAGTTGATTTGATGTTAATTGACTAATTCAGCATCATTGCAAATGTTATCTTGTGTAAAGGGAGGATTTTGAGAGGACAGGTTTAAGCAAACTAGTGACGGTAGAAGTAAGAGACATACAAGGGGTAGGGTTCCCGGAGGAGTTGTGTGGAAGGGCAGATTCCGTGTTCCTTGACCTCCCTCAGCCTTGGTTAGCCATACCTTCAGCTGGGGAAATGTTGAAAGAAGATGGTATCTTGTGCTCCTTCTCTCCGTGCATTGAGCAAGTACAACACTCCTGTGAAGCAATGAGATCACGGTTTACTGGTAATTTTTGCTATTCTTGATCGGATTGTTTGCATCTAGAATTAGAGAGTGGCATCACATGATCGATTCTTTCATGCTTGCTTGCTTCTACAGATATAAGAACATTTGAAGTACTTCTTCGCACCTATGAAGTCCGACAGAAAATTCTGGAGGGTGAAGGAGGCCCTACTCCTTTTGATGAACATCCAAGCAAGAGAAAGCGGGTTACTAATGGAGTAGAATGTTCTGCTTCTAACAGTGTCATGCTCAGGCCTTCTAGCGAGGCAAGAGGGCATACTGGCTACTTGACATTTGCCAGGCTCAAATGTGTTGATCATACTTCTTGAATGAATTGAAATGAAATTTAAAGGATCTCTCATTTAATTTTTCTCTTCTCTTGTAAACAACATTACCAATTCTTAAAGCCCTACACCAATACTAAACAAAGTTCGCTTCATTGGTATCTCTCTGACCAAATTCTCATCGAAATAATTTAAAGTTTGGTGCAGAATGACCCTGTTTCTTTTAGTGAAATTTTCGGCGATAAATTTGGAATGCTTGTTTACTCTCTTCCTACAAGACTGCCACTCTGAGCATAAAACCATTTATAAACAGAAAACTGACAAACACGGGCTAAAAGAAAGTACGACAAGCTTTAAAACAAAGGGGCATTCATTACTTCATAATCAACAAAACAAAGATGCTATTCAAATTTACATTACTTACGGCAAAAATTAACTGATCACTCCGCCCCTTGTTCTTTCATCTTCCTTTCGTAAAGTTCAACTACTTAGAAGAAGCAAAGGTCAACAAAATTTCCGTCCCAGGTTCTTTCTTGTTCTTGTTCATTTACGACAAGCATGTCAACTTGGTAAAATGAACACGGAAATAAGCCAAAATAAAATCAAAAGAGTCAGAGACATGCACGTCACTAAGGGATATTTTAACAATCTTATTCTTATGGATGAGTTGGAGAAGGATTCTCTGATGCAGCCTGGAAAGTGCCATCTTCCTTGGAAATGTTGCCTTCCCCCCCATAATTCAAGCAAGATCCATCAGCATCTTCCTTGGCATCATCATTTTGCTGCCTGGGTGGAGAACTTTCACAGCCCTTTCCAGAGTCAATAACATTCCCTGAATCCCAAGTGGGAAACATCTGTTTTTGGACCACCGAGGACGTTCCAGCCCTAGCCATCATGGTTTCATGAAAACTGCGACCTATAGGCTCTTGACCAACAGGAGCAGGCTGATCAAACCTTTCAACACTACGGCTGCGACTGCGGCCCCTGCTGTTGTTGTCACCACCCCATCCTGAACCCCTGTTAGGGCTTCTGCTAGGACTAGGACTACGCCTAGGTTTCTCTGAAGCTTTCATCATACGTTCATGAAAGCTGCAAGCATGGAAGCTCCCAGAACCATCAGCATCCTGTGAGCTATTGCCATACCTGTCACTATATATCAAATCAAAAATCGAAAATATTAGTAGATTGAAGGGATAAAATACCAAATAAACAGAAACCATACATGAAGAGACACATAAAGAACTTAGCTATGAACCTGTCGTTAGAATCATGGTTGTAACCATGGCCTCCACCTTTATCCGAAGAGAATGACATACTCCAGCTTCCCCTTCCTGAGTCCTGTCCACTGTTTCCTCCATCACGTCCACCTGGGGCAGCACTCCATTGACGTCTAGCCCTTCCCATTCCTCCACCACCACCACCACGGGAAGCAATATCACGTAGTTCATCAGGAACACGTTGACTTGCTCCTTCTAAAATTTTGATGAGATCCGAAGCATACCTCCCATCCTGGTCACCAAAAAATGTGTATGCCACACCAGTAGCACCTGCACGACCTGTTCTCCCAATTCTGTGTACATAATCCTCTATTCCAGTAGGGAAGTCAAAGTTTATGACAACCCTGCAACAAATGCATTCAATAAGTAGCATCACAAGCAGAATTTAATAAGTATATTCATTTGCGGGGAAGTTGGTAGTAGGGGAAGGGGTTATACGCGATTCACAAACATATTATTAAAAAAAACAAAACAAAAAAAAGGACAAATGAATTGTTGCAGGAAAAAAAAAAAAAAAGAGAAATAAGAGCATAATGAAACTGAATGGTCTATGTATATGTTTGTTTTTATTTTGAGGATTGGAAAAGGCATACAACACCCCTCGTCTCTCCCCTTTTCCTCCCCAATGTATGTGCACAATCTATGTATACAACACCTACATTGATCAAGAGAACCAAGCTTTATCCTAAATATAAATATGCACCTCCAATCTAAAGAGAGCAACCGAGCAGGAATTCTGGTTTATAATGTCCTAAAATGTCAAGGCAATAAAAATGGAAGTCAACAATTATGATTGATAGTTGCAGAATTAATACTACTAGATACCAACCTGATATCTTTAACGTCCAAGCCTCGAGCAGCAACATCAGTGGCCACAAGTACAGGAGACCTACCAGTGCGGAACTGACTTAACACGTAATCTCTGTCACTCTGAGATTTGTCCCCATGAATAGCTGCTGCCCCGAACTTGTTGTTAAGGTTGCCTGCAAGCATATCACACATCTTCTTTGTTGAACAGAAAATAATAATCTTTGATCCTGGCTCTTGTGATCTCAATATCTGCTCTAGCCGACGGCGTTTCTCCATTGACGATAACACTTCAACATACTGCAAGTAAAGTAGGAAATTGAAACGCATCAACCATCTTAACTTTCTCATGCATAGAATGTGTGTGGGGGGGGGGGGTGGTGGGGGGGTGGGGGTGGCGAAACCTTCTAAAACAAGGCAACAACCTGTGTTATTGACTTGTTTGCAACAAGTTCATCAACATTCCCAATGTTAACCTGGACTGGATTAACCAGTAGATCAGCAGCAATTTTACGGACATCCTTTGGCCATGTTGCTGTGAACATCAGAGTCTGCCGCTGAGACGGCACCTCCTTCACAATCTTTCTTATCTGAGGTTCAAACCCCATGTCCAACATGCGGTCTGCTTCGTCTAATACCAAATATGAAACTTGATGTAGTGTAACTCTTTTCATTTCCAAAATGTCATTTAAACGACCAGGAGTTGCAACCACAATGTCTACGCCTTTGTCCAACTCCCTCAACTGTGGACCTTTTGGTGCTCCTCCATACAGACACTATTAAATACCATTTAAAAAAAAAAAAAAAAAACTATAAATGATCCCACAGAAAATAATGCATGACACATACATATATAGTTGCAATGGCCAACCATCACTTTGCAAAATGGAATGATGTATTCATAAATAAGTCTCAATGAATATAAGACTAATCATGAAGTTGAGGTATATGAGGAAATGATTCCATAATGTGTAATATCTATCAGCTATCAAGTCTAACATGCATCACTTGATTAGTTGATTTTGATGAAGATCTTTAAAAGGTCAAAGCAATGTGTTCTAATAAACAAATTAAAGTGTACTTTAAAAACGCAATATTGTAGGCCATCCCCAAACTCAAGCATAATGAGACAAATTAGCAAAAGGTTTAAACTTCAGCATGAGAATTAAGCCAAAAATTTCTCTTGCAAAATTGAAAGTGACTAGAAATAATGAAGAGATAAAAATGGAATACTAACAAAGAATGATCAGACCATTACAAGTAAATAATCATACCGTAGAAGAAATTCTTGAAGATGTACCAAACTTTACAGCTTCATCTTGTATTTGTGTTGCCAACTCTCTTGTTGGGGACAAGACCAAAACAGTTGGGCCCATTCTAGGATTATTGTTACGTCGTTTTAGATGCATAAAACCAGGAATCAAATAACCCAAAGTTTTCCCTGAACCAGTCTTTGCAATAGCCACAATGTTTCGGTTTTGAAGAGCTATAGGCCATGATTGCGCCTGTATTGGAGTTGGAGCTGAAAACCCAGCTTGGTGTAACTGGAAAAACAAATAAATAATAAAAATTGCAAACTCCAATTACTGGATGTACAAGCTTCAAAGTTCCACGGCTATTTGATGTTTTAGCGTGGCCCTGGCCAGCACAAGAAGAAGAATCATCCCCCTTACATAGGCAGCCAATTGAGCAGCAAGCCAAAGCAGGAGGACTCCTCTTCTTCCATTTAGATAGTGTGGCAGATGGAATCATCACCAACAGCATTCCCAGCCATGAACATGGATGATTCAGAAATCCCTTCTCACAAAAAATGGACCATGAAATAAAGGCCTCAAAAGATTGTAGAGCACACAGTGTACAACATAGTTCCTTCTAGGAGCAAATGTTGTATCTCCAAGAAAATTAAAGTTGCAAAAACAAAGTGAAGTCCTTAAAATCAACAATAAGCCTCCAGTAAACAGAGAAATTCTAGCAGAAAAATACAACATGCACATAATGTACAATAGTTTATAATCACCTTGAATTTCATACAAGTTCTTACCACAATCAATTGAAAAATATACACAGTTTCAACATACCTCTCTCAAAAGCTCTGACGGAAACCCAGTTGCTTTAAATGATGTGAAAGGTGGGGGTACATTATCTCCCTGGTAAAATAGAACATAAAACACGTGTCAAAATGCAAATGCCTAGCATACCACAGAACCTCAAGATGGGTATGAACATTCCACCAGCTCCACTATTCTTGGAAACATTATTGCATCTTAGTATTTCAATACAAATACATTACAGAAAAGTTATTTTATACAGATTCATTTTGTTTAAATGATAAGAAAAGAACAAACATTAAAACTGTTGGGAGTTTACCTAAATAAATAAAGTGTTTTGAGTTCTAGAAGTTCATGAGCCATGAATGTCAAATCCAAGGCTAGTGATGCCAAAACTATTTTAAGAGCCAAGCTTAACAATTACACAATTCTAATTCAACAGAGTTATTGAGCTGTTAGATGACAAGGTTGATTGATCTCAACCCCTCCTAGCCGGAAAAAAAATGGAAAATCAGGAAAGAAACAAAATGAATTTTCACTCATATTACAGAAACAAATCATATGCTTACAGTTACAGATATTTCATGCTGACGGCGATAGCTATCCGGAGATAGGTCGCTCCCCATACTTAATCCACTATAACTTTTAGGAGCAGAAGGTCCATGTCCAGCTTCTGGCATTTGTGAAACATCACGAGAATGGTCAGAGTTGCCTCCTTCTGCCTGCAATAAAAATAAAAACAAAATGCTCAAATTAAAGAGACAATCCCAAGAATATTAAACAGCCAAAAGTGGAATCCTAAAACATTAAAAAAAAAAAAAAAAAAAAAATTATATATATATATATATATATATATATATATATATATATATATATATATATATATATATATATAACAGGCAAACACACACACTTAATGAGTAGACAGAGAGACTGTAAAATGCGCTTCCTCCACCCCATTCTGTAAGGGGTGATTGTGTTTGGCATGACTTTCAAGAAGAAAAACAAATTAATATGCGAAATCTTTTCCAATTTTGGCATTCTAAAAAGAGATGAATTGGGGTCCACCTAGAAAAGTTAAAAGTAATAAAAGGTTAATATGGATAAGCAAAAAATTAGTTGTGCTTAAATTAAGAAAGTGGACATTGTATAAAAAGGAAAGTAGACAAAATTAAGTGTGACGGAGGAAGTAATAATCTAGATCAAATGGAAATGACAATGTATTAAACCTAAAAGCAAGCATATTAAAAACCAAAGTAGAAGCCTAAAAATCTAAAATAAAGCATCTCTTTCACTTCAAACAAGACCAGGCTCATATATCATATTTCAACATCCACTGTGCACATACAAGCGCTAAACAATCAGAATGCAATAACAAAATGGAAGAAATTTAAATATTTTATTACTGACCCCAGTGGAAAGTCTGCTTGAGCCACCATTGCTACCTGTGTCATATCTATCATCATCACCATTGTCAGGGTGTTGTCCTTGAGAAGACTTCTGAATGGATGAACTTACAGGTCCAGAAGATGATTTATTTGATGGAGCAGAGCCCCCAGGCCTCTCATATTGAGTAACATTGGTCTCCGGATTCCAGAAGTAAAGAAAACCAGTCTTACCATCAACTAGGCCTCGCCAAGGTTTAGGGAGGGTGGGATCTTCTGGTGCATAACGTGGACCAGCTGAAGATGCTGTTGCAGTTGCTGCCATATACAAACTTTGCTCTCAACTATGTGTGGCAGCAGAAAAGGACAAGTAGTGAGCATTCCAATGCAGTATATATCAAAAGAATAACTAAGGTCAATGCTAACAAATACAACCTTAAGACTCAACCATGTTTAACAGAGTGTAGGAAAACATGGCATAGCCTTGAGACTAAAAATGAATTGCTGACAAACTGAAAGCACATTAGTAAATATATATACATGCACAGAAAGAGCAAGTTTGGGGTGTGGGGAGATAAATTGGAAGACAATACAGGGAAAACACGCAGAAATAACTCGGAAGCAAAATGATGCCAAGAGACTCCATGTTGATCCTCACAAAAATAAAAATGGAAACAACTGAAAAATAAAATTAAGCATGAACATTAGGAAACGACATAGTCCAATCCAATATACATTCTCACACACCAAGCACAGCTTTCCAAAAACATGCATAAAAAAATAACACAGTCCCGTATGAACTCATTTCACGGGAAGGCAAATAACTCTTCCGACATTTAGGCACGTTAACAACCCAATGCAAACCATATTGAGAATAACAGAGACGGCGGGGAAGTCGAGCAAAGAACCGATCAATCAAAAAAGAAACATGATCATAAACCCTAGGTTTCCATTTCAAATTCAGCTCTAGGGTTTACAGATTACATACCGAACGGTTAGCTCGAATCTCAAATGCAGCTAAACTTTCGAGCGAAACAATTAGAGAAGAACGGCGCCTGACAATGTCGATTTGTTTGCAAAATAATAGGCGTTCGGGTTGAAGTAGCTATAAATGCTCCAAGCCTCCCCGCTGTCGAGCTCTCTCTCCGCCTCGCCCGTTCCCTCCTTTTCTTTTGCTACGCACTGTTTTTTATACGTACAATTCAGCGTAGGTTTATTCAGATGTTTGGTATTTTTTCACCAATTACAATTTTGGGGGAAAAAAAAAAACTCAAACTTAAAATATTTGTTGCTCGATTAAGTTTTTTTAAGGGAAATTTCCATATCATTAATTAGCATCAACCATATGCTGGTTCAAGGTATGAAGGATAACGATGTCACGCGGAATAATATAGAAGATGGGAAGAGATGATGAGGTAACAGGAGACATCAGATATCATATCAGTTAGGGAATGCGGAAAGCGATTATAAGATGGAAGCGGGTTATCGCAAATAGTGAAACCAATCAAGAATGAGATGAATCAATCAAGGAGCCGGCCAGATCGTGTTAATCATCCGCTTTGGTGAAGGAAATAGCCTGCTTCTCAGGAGAAGCGATCGGAGGATGGAATGCGCGAATAGGGGAATCGTTCCAATAAAGAAGCTGAAAGGGAAAGGTAACCAACCATGCGATATGTCGAGAGAGAAGGTGACCCATATAGGCAAATGGCAGGATAAGCTGGCTGAGTGCACCAGCTAGCCTTATGTGACCAGGAGTCGGCGAGAAGTAACCAAGTACACAAAGGAGCTGAGAGGATGTTGTTGAGTACCGAAAGGAGTTAGTAAGATATGGCTGAGTACCTGAAGGATCCGGCGAGATGGGATCGAGTAGAGGAAGGAGTCAGACAAGTGAGGCCGAGTAGAGGAAGGAGTCAATATAACAAGTCTAGAAGCGGAATGATCTAGGTGACTCAGTGGAAATGCCATTAAGGAACAATTAAATATGAGTTAGTGATGAGGCAAATCGTTGAGGAAGATGATGAGCCAACAATGATTAAAAGACATTTAAAGCATGTATAATTCTTACTTACTTCATTTATTTATGTTAATGAACGGCCGAGTGCAATAGTCATTCCGGTTTTTATAAAAGGCCTGCGAAGGCACTATAAAAGGGGTTTGGACATTCTGAATATTGTGAATACACACGAGAACTTGTGAGTACATTACTATTTTCTGGCAATATCCTTGCATTTTCGGTAATGTTGGCTCCGCGGTAAACTACCTCAGATAGTCTAAAAAACCACATTGGCGACATATGTGAGGACATGACAACAAGTTACGTGTCCTTTCTTCCAAAGAATTTGAGTGAGAAATAGAGCTGAGATGGCCGAAGGAATATCACATAGCCGTGTTACCAGAGGAAACAACCCGCCAAGTGAGGAACATGATTTGCGTGATCAGTTGAGCCGCCCTAATTCGCAAGGACAAATAGAGAACTGTAATACCCCACTTTTCTTAAATCTAAATCACAACGCTTAACTTCTAAAGATAAACTAAGCAAGATTAAGATAATATTAAAAGCTTAAACCAAACCAAAAGGGTGTCACCACACACAATGACTGCATAGGCTAGGGTAGGTGCTAATTAGAGTCAAGTTCAACACAAAACTATAAATATCCTTGGGGAATACAACCCCGGTGTCCAACACCATCAAACGGGTAACAAAGCAACTAAACTCCAAAGTTTAAACATTCACAACTATAACAAGTCTGAACTAGCCACTAGTAACTCATAACTACGCTCTAAACTATCTCGAGCGCGCTCGAACACTTGGCCCACCTAAAAGGGGTTAACAAACAAGCAAATAGAAATTTAACCAGTTAGCACGAATGTTAAGTATAACGCCACTCAACCCTGTAAAGTACTATAGATATAGATTTGAAAATCATTTGCACTTAAACTCAAATACTTTCAATCTCATAAACAACAACTTAGATCATGCTCAACAATAATTCTATATGCTTGCATCCTAATCAACAAGTATGCATGCTTTCTCAAGTACTCAATTTAATATAGATCTCATGCTTTAATTGATATTTCTAATCATGGCGAAATACTCAAATTCAAGCTCAAAACTGATAGATAAAGATGTTTAAACTTAACAAACAAACTCATGTTATCAAGTCAATCATTAAACGACAACACAGTGTTATACTTCTCAACAAACTTTAATGATAAACAAGCAAAACATGTAATTCATGCAACAAGATAGTCATGATGCTTTTAGTATAAGTATATAGATATATATACATATACACTTGCTATTTTGCAAAAAGGAACACTTGTTTTGTGGAGGTTTCTGTTGAGTCACATTGACTCGCTTTCTTTCTTTCTTTCTTTCACTTGAGTTTCTTGACTCGCTTTCTTTCTTTCTTTCTTTCTTTACTCGTGGGCGAGGTAGGAGCTTCACCAAAATGTGAACGAACCTATCTGGGTTCGGCATCTAGCCAGCCTAATACTTATATCGCCCACAGAACCACTCTCTTGGTTCTTTTCTCAAACTCTGTAGAATCAGGTATCGTACTTGTCAGTGGGCACACCCCTAACCAGGATTCCAAGCCCGGCGGGTAGTATCCGACCGAGTAACATGGGAATACGCCTCATTACTTCATATCCTTTCGGAAGGAAAGAGAAAGAATCCTTCCGAAAGGATATAGTCCTAACGGCCCTCCAAAATACTATTTTCTCACCATAGATAGCATATAGATATATCTCATGCAACTTCTTTAACTTATGCAATCTCATGCACATAAATCTCAACAACTTCTCTTTCTCACATTTTGGAAATCAAATATCATGCAAACTTCTCAATACAACTAAATAATGACTTTCCAAAATAGATATAGGTTTTTGAAAGAGTACATAGGCTTACTTAGAGCCAATAATGCACTTTAAACCATGAAATGCTAAGCATGCTCTTTTACTGTAAAAGTAATCTCAATCTCTCTTTCACTGTGAAACAAGGGAAATAAAGTACTACTTCATGCTCATAACTCAACACTTATCAATTCTTCTTAACAAATACTCAACAGTATTGATCATGCTCTTTATGCTCAAATTATACTTCAGTTGCTAGCATTTCCATTTACTGTGAAATAAGGAAACATACTCATTTCATGCCAAATTTCCAATAATTCAACAAATCTTCTCAAGGAGTAATAACAAACATTTAGGAGTAATAACAACATATACTGAGGATTTCTCCATCACAAATTCTACTGTAAAACATTCATTCTAACTCCGAGTTCAATAAAATCAACTTCTACTAGTGCGTCTTAACGAACCTGAGCGTCCGAGCCTCAAGGGCCCACGAGTCCCGGTCCGAACGACACGTAGCTGAGCCACAGAGAGCACGCCCATAAACCTTTTTGGTCTGGCGGAGCTTGGTGACGGGGCTTGGGAAGCCCCGCCACTTGACTCCGCCAAGTGGCGGATCTTGCCATGATCCGTCCCCTGGAGCCGTTGTTCCACGATGCTAGCCGGCGGACCTCCTCGTTGGCTAGTACCGTGAGGCCATCTGGTGCACCAGAGCCTTTTCTTCACCTGTAGACGCATCCAGTGTACTCTAACACTCCCAAAACTTCACAAATCAATCATAGATCAACAATATCTCACAAGTAGATCAACAACAACAACAATCTAACATTTTCTAAGCAACTATTTCTCATTTCTAACACTTTAACAGAGTAAAAAATAAAGTTGGGAGTCCATGGGTTATACCTCAGCTCTTTGTTCTTCCTTGTGTGGATTCCGTCTTCTTCCCAACTCAACCACTACCCCCTTCACCACCTAAACACCTCAAACAAACCAAACAACAACACTTAAGAAGGGAATCTCAGAGGTTTGAAGCAAAAGAGTGTAAGCTAGATGGAAAGATAGATGAATGGATGGAAATGGAGCCTAGGAAACTTATTATGTTTCTCCTTTCTTTCTTACAGAGCTCAAGGTTGGGGAAGACAAATAATGGAATCAGGATAAAGGCATGCTTACTATTCCTTTTATATGGGTTCAAAACCCTAGGATGATACTCAATGATTGGTGGAGGGCAAAGTAGTATTTTGGGTTGATTCTTAAAAATATCAGACAAGAGATTCAAAGGCTTATGGTCCACCCAACATGGACCATAGTCTAGAAAAGTGATTTTAAAATAGTTTGGGATCGAAATAGATTTTTCTGATTTCACTCATAATGACTTTTGGTTCAAAACTCGGTACACACTCTACCCGAGTATTTAGGATTTTCAGAATTATAATAAATCTCGGCGTTGAATTTATTTAAAAACATGGATCAAAATAATTAATTCAAACACCGTTTTAAAAATAAAATTTTGGAAGAGTGAAAAATGGCAATTTTGGAATTTCGTAAAATAGAATTTAGAGAATTAAATTTTGGGTTGTCACAAGAACCAACCTCACCGACAAGAGTTCGTGCATAGCCACGAGTTGGCTAGAACCCGATCACCGCTGCCGCCCCAGGCAGCTCCCACGATCGTTGATATGTTGGGCCGGGTGGTGGATATTTATGAACGTGAGCAAAGGGAACGAGTGACCCTTCCAGAGTACCGGAGAGAACCCTCGTATGCGACAATTGAGATAACGGCGAACATTAGGCCATCTGCAGCAGGAATGTCTCGTGAGGGAAAATTGGCGACCGAGTCCTCAACGTTCAATATCAGGGGTTGGGCCTCTCATTGTTCGACATTTGATAGGTTTGGCGAGAGGGAGGCTAACCGGGTGCCTGATCGGCAAGAGGGTGGAGCAAGTGATGCTCTGAGACCTATTCATGAGCCTAGAAATAGCCGTGAGCGGAGGAGGGATGTTGCGTGAAGAAGAGAGGCGGAGTCTATGGTGGAAAGTATCGTCGAGACTCCTGAGAAGCTGGCCTATGATCAGGACGAGGAGGCTGGATTTGCACGAGAAATCAAAGACCTGAGAGAATGGTTGGATGAGAAATCTAAGCCGCCTGCTCATACCTTGTTGACCGCGTTGCCCTTTACGCTTGAAATATTGGCTTACAAGGCGTCCGATGAGTTCAAGTTTCCCGAACGCACGACCTTTGACGAGTAGGGTGATACAGAAGAGCACTTAGTGAGTTACTAAGAGAAAATGCAGGTTGTAAGAGTCAATGAGCCATTCTTGTGTCAGGCGTTCAACCCTACAACCAAACATGCTATTTTTATTATTATTATTTTTAAAAACCAAAACCAACAGGTTATATTAAATCACCAAAGAAACGCAAAATACAACCGGGCGGGGAGACATCCCAAACCCCAAGGACAGAAGAAGAACGAGTCGCCCGTACAAGCACATAAGCTACATGATTCGTCAAACATGCAAAATAGTTTCACTAAAACCCATATCATTACCAAGCATCTTATTTCCATTCAGATTCCTATCTACAAACCAAACACACCCTTAATTTGTTAATAGTAGCTCGTTAAGGTTGTTGGTTTTGTTAACAATTGTATTGACTAGACATCGTTAACATCAATACACTTGTATTATTTATTTGTTAAAATTAATTCACCAATTATGATTTATCGAACAATTGGTTTATATGATTTTCAAAACAATTTTGATTATTCACACCAAAATAATAATAATAAAATATATGAATAGATAGAGTCTTTACTTTATTTTCTTGCTATAATATCTCCTCCAATACTTGGCCAATCCTCCCGTGCGCGATCTTGAGGACTCTTCACCGGCGGAATACCTTGGTAGAGCCCAAATTCTCGTGGAACAACATATGCTCAACACGTCCCCTCATTTGTGTGGACCGATTACTTTTGATGGGCTCCAAAACAACACGTGAATCAGAGATTCGAACTCATAACCTTTGGCATGACTCTGATACCAAGTTGAAACATGTGCTCTATCTCAATTAAAAACCTAAGCTGATCATATAGTCGATTGATTCAAACGAATAATATCAATAGACAATTCTCACCAAAAAAAAGTCAAGTTTATAAATTTTTGGTTATCAAACTAGTTGTGCCACTAACTTGGTTGGAGTTGCACTCAATTTTATCAACCCTTAGACCACATATGGATATTTGGGGGAAAATGAGATTGAAATTCAATGGAAAATAAATTACCATGAAGATTGACTTCATTTTTTGGTTGGTAGAAAAGAAACTACTGAGAATATTGATTTCGTTGTTTGATTGAGATTGAAATGGTAAAGAATGAGTATAAAAACTAAAATGACACTAAAAATAATAAAGTCAAAATTATCTATAATACTTTATTCCCGACTTCCATAAAAAAACAAAATACCACCATCTTCCATTGAAAAACTTTTTCTTCAAAACTAAGGAAAAGAATTTTCCATAAATCATTCCTCAAATTTAAGGAAACTTATTCCATTCAACTAAACATGGTCGTCCTCTACCCAATGATAGAATTAGTATAAGATGTTAATTAATAAGGGCGTTTGGTCTAGTGGTATGATTCTCGCTTTGGGTGCGAGAGGTCCCGAGTTCGATTCTCGGAACGCCCCTTGCTTCAATTTTGGTTGTGCTCATTCTACCGTCGCCCTGCCGCCGCCGTGGAGGCTCCACAGAAGGTGGTACAACCAGAGACGAAATCCCCAGCTCCGGTCCACGCTGACGAGCAAGGTCTGTTTCCAGTTTAGCCTTGTCCTTATTTTTGAAAAGTTAATTTGATAATACGCATGATTAATTGATTATATCATCCTGCAGATAGTTTAAAAAAAAAAAAAGAAGCATATCATAATTGTATTGATTGGTTGACCCTGAACAAGTTACCATTCCTGCAAGTTTACAGCTTGCCTTCTGTTCATCTGAACCCACATTGCCCAATTGTGGACTACAACAGACACACTGTAGTAATGTGGCCTGGCCAACTCTGACTGTAGCAATGTACTTTCATCCCACTCCCAACAGAGAATCATGGTATTACTTTAAATTAAACCATAATTAACAAGGACTGAAGGACAAATAATATACCAGAAAAGTTGCCCTGTCTATTGACATTGATGTTCGTAGTTTTCGCCTTTTTGGGTATAACTATATTTATTAACTTTTATTGTATTCACTTCATGCTGTTTGACCGTCTTTGGGTTCAGTAAATTGAGAAAGCATATATGATAGTACACGCAACAAGATCAATAGTACTCCAAAAAAAAAAAATTGAAGATAGCAGATGGGTTATAGATTGATGTTTTGACTAGTATAACAGTATGAATTGAGTTTTGAATGATGGCTTTTCCCAAGAAGTGAAGAACCATATACTCCTTACTAATTTCCATCCAAAAAAGAACAAGAAGAAAGGGTACAACTTTAGCTTGACTGCTTGAGCATTTTTTGAATGGAAAAAAGTGAGCTTTTTTTGGAATAATAATAATACATTATCCTAAAAAAAATTAAATTCACTTAATTGCCATCACCTTGAGGAGGCACCCTACCAAAACCCAAATGACCAACTTGGTACAACTCTAACCATACTTCTTCTGCATCAAACCTCGCACTAAAACTGTCTTTTAGCTCATCTTCTCCGTTGTTTCCAAATTCCGACAATGCAATTTCCAAAGCTCCCTCTTCTACCATGCCCATTCTTGAAATTCCGTCGTCACTGCCATTATCTTTGTTGTCCAGCTGTCTCCGGCCACCGGCGCCGCCGCCCCTCTTCTTCTTCTTCCGCATCCGCAGGCATCTCCTCCCCACTTTCCATGGAACCTTGAACAATGCGAGCACTAGGCAGTCCACGACGGCGCAGGGGCAGCAACACACTGCCACGCAGTCGGCGATCACCCCCGCCGTGCATGCCTTGCAGGATTTCCCCGTGCACTTTATCCGGCGATCTCCGGCGGGGTCGTCGTCGTTGTCTCCCCCATCCGCCGCGCGCCGCCGCCGCTGGTTCCCGATTGCATTATTCCTCGAAAAGACCTCGCGGCGGGCCCCTTCCTTCTGGTGACGTGGAGCCACTGGCGGAGACAAGGATTCAACAACCATGTGATCTGATCTTCTTCTTCAAAACTCTCTGTAAAATCTGCAAATTAAAACCCAAAAGATCAACCACTGTTAAACAACAGGCATTACCCCTATACATATTCAAACATTACTCATTATCTCTCTCTCTCTACATATACTTTCAAAATCATCTGCAAACTACAAACAAACACATAAACATGGGAACAACAACAAAAAGATAAACAAAATGGTGCCCATCCAACGTTCTAGTATAGTCTCATATAGTGGACAATTTAAAAGAAAAAAAAAAAAGACAGAGAGAAATTACATCGTACATTATTGAGGTATTGTTGGGTAGAAATTCTCAGCAAAAAATATATAAGCATTTTCTCCCATGCAATTATTCTTGTAATGCCAAAGGGGTACACTGGTCCATGTATATGTTCTGGGCGGGGCAGATATGTTTACCCATTTAAGAATATAGAAGCGAAACCCACCCTACCACCTTACCAGCTTACATCGTGTACGCCACACAATATGGTGGGTCGAAAATGCTTCAAAAACTTTACTGAAAACATATATACGAGCAATATATATATTTTTGAAGAATTTAATGTTTATTTTACAATGCTTAGCTTTAACAACCAAAACTCGTTTGATGATTACAGAAACTGTGACGAAAATCATAACCGAGAAGAGCAGTTTGGCACGTTAAAGATTTTGCAGATCGTGTTAGTTAAGTTTAATTTGATTAAAATAATGAAGAAATACAGTTTAAGCACCATCAGATTAAAGACATCGTGATTCGTGCATAAACAAAATTGAATAGTAACGGGATCACATGCGAATCATATAGTAAAATAAAAATAAAATTTATTAAAAATTTTAACAATATATAATACACCCATATACAATTCGAAGCTGACAAAAAAACATAGAATATTAGCAAAATGCAGTAGTACATTACACTGTTCAATAGAAAGAATCTCACACTGACTTCAATACATTTAAAAAAACTATGGCACCGTCACCACTAGCTATGTTAGCTCACAGCAAATGGAAAAATACTATACTCCCATTTTTTTAACTTTCAACTTTTACTTTCACAAACAAAATTTTAACGCAGATGTTTATATTAAAATTCGCATTAAAAAAATAGCTTATCAATGTTGACTTCATCAGCGAGTAAGATTTGAAATCCATGTAATAGAACTCATATAAAATAAGCTTAGTATGAGAATGAGACCATTTTAATTATTTTCAAATATTGTGTAATACTTTTTAGTTAAAATGTAATGTCTTTATAAAAAGCTTTCTCACATAAAACTTTTTTAAATATATATTATTTACTCTCCCACGAATTGATCGATTGAGGAGTGTATGGAGATTCCACATGGGTTGTTTTGTAAAAGTTTTTTTTTTTTTAAGAACTATATTTTTGAAGTTTTTTAATGTAAAATATATATAAGAACACATGCATGTAATATATATTTTAATGATTTTCAAAAATAGTGTTTATTATTTATTTATTTACATTAATGTTTCTTGGTTGAAATAAAAGACGACGTACGATAAAGACTAGTCTAAGGTATATGCCGAAAGCTACATTTGATGATAACATTCGATCTTCTTGTTTGAACAATGCCAAGATGGCAAGATGCCCTTTCGGTCATCATAGGACATATTATTTATCCCTATATATAACAAATTTATTTTTGATTTTATACAAATCGATAAAAAAATGTATATATTTATTCTACTTCTTTATAGACAAATTCAATTCATCCTATGATGTTTTATATGTATGTATATATACATGCAATGTATGTATATATTACAGTAATTTAAGCTAAAAGAAAAAATGCAGAGAAAAAGAAGTTGAAAGAGAAGAGAAACATACGCGATCTTGTGCTAGAAGATATTGCATTGAGCGGCGATCGGCCAGCCAACTGCAACTTCAATTAAGATTTGAAGACTGTACTGTCTGGAACGGATCGGAGCTAGCTAAGCTATCTCGGGCAACTACAATAATATTTACGAAAACCTTAAATTGTGAAACTGCCGATATATGTGTAGAAGAAGATCAGAGATGACTGTTTCTCTATATCTGAGATGAGATGCTCAATGCAGCCTGTAGTGGTTGGGTAAAATGTTTGATTTTGAGCATTTTCATAGGGAGAGATATAGATGTGTGTATATATGTATGCGTGCGCTAGTATTGGGTTATTGGCTTGGCTTTTCTCTCTCTACCTGCGTGGGAACAATGTGGGATTGTCCTTTGAATCCAATATTATAATCAGGTTTAAATCTTGACTGGAGTGGAGGCAAGCATTTTCTTTACTTATAATCATAATATACGTGGGATTATCCTGACAATTTTGTATAGATTTAAGTAATTGTAATATTATATGTAATTTAGCGAGCCTCGTTTAGGTTAACACACATAATTCAAGAAAAAGTACATCAGATTAATATATTATTGTATATTTCTTTATTTTCCCAATAATTATGGGAAATAGGAATGAAAGAAAACTGTAGTGATAGAAATTACGGAGTATAAAATATGTGTTGGGTTATATGGAATAATATGATTATTATCAACAGTATACTTGGTTATAACTTATAAGGTAGTGGTAGTCAAATTGGTATATAATAATGTTAAGGAGACTATATATGCTTAGGCAATCAAATGGGAAAATGATACATTTAATCCATTAGGATAGGTATGATCAAAGTGTAAGTTTAATAATTCAATTATTTGAAGTATATATTTGGTATATTGATTTTTTTTGTTAGTTAATAAAGTATTTGACTTGATCACTCAAATATTAAAATCGTCATTTTGATAATAATTGATAGGTTAAATTTTCTTTGTAAATAATTAAGAGACTAAAATTACAGTTTATTTGTAACTCAAAGACTATACGTATTATTTTCCCATATCAATATTTTGAAGGACTTGATAAGCAGTTGCATCAACTTGCATTGAGAAGCCTAAGTTAGATGACTTACGTTTGCCACATAGTTGGACTAGGCTGCCACACCCACTTTGTTTCCCTTGGCACACCATATGACTAACTTGTCACAATATATGTTTTGAGTGTCTGACCAGTTATCCACATTTATTAGCCATAACATGCTGCTTTAAGACCACTTGTTACAAATTCTCATGATACCAATTGGTAACTTCAATATACATAGGAGCACATTGTACTTCATACATGGTCACGTACTAGACTAATAATATAATCTAATTATAGTTGTCGATTTACTTAGAGTACGTTATTGAGTTCATAATCATCATACCCATTTAGCAACACAAAAGTCTTAGAATATAATTTTACTTGTAATGTAGTATAATTTTAGACTTCTATTCCATCGTAATTTACATGTCATTAGTAAAAAAAAATGTAAATTTGTACTATTAGAATTTTCAGATATTACATGCAATCATTTATAACATAGATCATTTCCACACAACTGTGTGAACCATAAATAAAAAGTATATTTTTAATACTCATCTATCCAATTTTATATGTCTACTTAATATTCATTGATCAAATCAACTATTTCTTATTTGTTTATTTTTTTTAGTATTATTTACTTATTTTTAAATTTGATTTTTTATGTTTAATAGTACTTTTAGTATAGTTTATAAATATATACATTTTGTATACTAATACTAAATTTAATATTATGAAAAATTGAATTAAAAATAACTTCAATTAAGTCTCGAACTAAACACATAAAATGAGACAGATAAAGTATCAAATAATATATACTCAGTACAAAAATAATAAACTTTTAATATATTAAAAATATACTTTATATTCATTGTCTACGTTATAATTTGCGAATTACATGTCCCCATCATATAGATTTCAGCCCGTTTATCCATTTATTGGGCTGATGAATTAGAACCAGAAAGGCCCAACAAAAAATAAAAGTCTAATCCTAAAAAGGTTAGTAATTGGATAAAACACGATTTTGATACTATAAGCCTATACTTCAGTGTTAAGTCACTAATTCACTATACTGTGTACATAACACTTATCTCATCACTGACTTAAACTGAAATCTCATAAATATGCTTATTTATTGTTATAAAATTATTGAATTAATGGCTGCCCCAAATAACACGAATTTTCAGATGAATTTCCATAAACTGTATGATCTAGGCATAAATTACTGTAAACTTTTGGATTTTACTTCTAACTTTATGGAAGTATAAAAGTTGAATGAAAAGCACCTGGTCTGACACGCCAACTATCTACTGACACGTGTCTCGGTACAGAAGTCCACCGTTTTCCCTCCCTTCCTCCCTCCCCAAAACCCCTATGCAAAGCCCTAGAGCTTCACTTCTTCCCGCACTTCCTCCATTTTAGAATCTAAGCTCAAAATCCTCACTCCAGCTCGCTTAGGATCTTCCTTAGTCCTTACTTCTTCATCCTCAACTAACGATGCTTCTATGTCGTTTCCCGTTTATCATTCCGGTGTTTCTCATGACACTTTTGCCTCAAACGGCGCCGTTTTCGTTGTCCGGTCCACACATTGCGGATGTGAACATACTGTTGCCCCCCAAGATGACTCATCCCGTGGAGTACAGGCTGCAGGGGAGTGATGGTTGCTTCAAATGGTATTTCTTCACCGTCCTGAGCTTAGTTTTGCTTTCATGATCGCTTCTTTAAGTTTTTTTAGGTTATCAACTTTGAGTTTTTAGTTTGGAGAGCATTTTCTGGTAATTTCAATACATTTTATATTTTTCTCTGGCGATGTTTATGTTTAACCTTGCGTTCTGCTTCATTAGCGGTGGCAGTGCTGTTTTACTTACTGAGCCTCTTTTATCTTGCTCACTAATTCACCGTGTTTGGTAAATAGCTATTAGTTGTTAGCTGATTGGGATAGTATGTTTGATTAGTTGATAGCATTCTGATTGTAGAAAAATGTTTGGTAAATTAGTTATTAGCTGCAAAATGACTTTCTCAAAAAGCTTATTGAAAAAGCTACTTTGAGCAGTCGTTTGAATTTTAACATTTTGGAGCAATAAATTGTCACAAAAAGCTAATTAATCAAACACTTATATTGAATGTTTAACCAAGTCAAACCACTAATAGTGGTCAAATAAGCCAAAATTGATTGATAAGCTAACTATGTTACCAAACAAGGCCTTAGTCTATCATATGGTTGTCCTAGGCCTGCTGCTGCATAGGATTTTGTGGAAGCATGCTAAACGTGACTTTTCTATACAAATGAGCTATCGTGTCCTGCTATTTGGCATATAATAATAATAAAAATGTTGGGCTTGGAAGTTGGAGCTTTCAGTTTGAACTAGCCTTCCATGACAAACTGATACATTGAACTAGACTGCTGCATTATTTTTTATTTTCCTTTTAATGACAAACTTATAAATGTTGTTTTCCTTGGTAGGTCTTGGGATCATCATGATATTCTAGCGTTATTGCCTGAATACAATGCCAGCAGTCTCTGCTCCACAAGTGCCCGCTTGAAATCAATTGCCCCATATAGTGGTAGAAAGGAGACGGCTGTGTATGCAACTGACATGAACACGGGGGCTGTTATTCGTTGCAAAATTTACATTGATAAGATATCCAGGATCAAGATATTCCATAGTTCAGTCAAACTTGACCTTGATGGGCTTGCTACTCTCAGAGTGCGTGCCTTTGATAGTGAAGGTACTTTACAATTTAAACTTGTCAAGTCTCTGTAGTTGTCTACTGTTTTATTTTAAAAAGTACGGAGTAATGGCCATCTTTATTTCTAGTAGACTGTTGAATTGTTCTAAATGTTACCGAAATCATCTACTGTTTTCATCTGAACATGGATCATTTCCCCTGATAATCCTCTAAAGGTTGCACCTTGATGGTTGGTTTACTCATTTTCTAGAAATATGACCACATCTCGACATGGATATATGTAACAATAATAGTAAGCTATGAAATGCTAAATTGCTAATATCTATAAATGTTCTTTCCATTTTTTTTAGCTGTTTTAATCTTCCATTGTATTACTATAAAGCCATGCCTCATTATTAGGCCTTGTGTGTTGCTAATTTGTTTGCCAGAAGAAGTTATTTTCTTTGACTTCTTTCCCCATTTTGGTGGTGAAATTAGTTGTTTGTTAATCAGCATATATTTTTTATGGATGTGTTTATACAGTGTTTATATATCTTTTTAGAATTTATTTTCATTAATATCTTTATGGTTTACCCTTTATTGGCACTCTAGTTGGTACTGTCATTAACTTTCGTTTTCTGAAGTGCAGAAAATGTATTCTCATCTTTAGCGGGCTTGCAGTTCATGTGGCAGCTGATGCCCGAAAAGGATGGATTGCCTCATCACCTCCTTCATGTTCCTTTGAAGGAGTCCCCATTGAGTGACTGTGGTGGATTGTGTGGTGACCTGGATATCCAAGTAAAGATTGAAGATAGTGGTGTATATTCTGATCTATATGTAGTACGGGGAACTGAGATTGGGCATGAGGTTGTTTCTGTTCACTTAGTTGAACCATTGTCTGAACATATGGCCGATAATATTGTGCTAACTGTAGCAGAAGCAATGTCTCTTGATCCTCCTTCCCCCGTTTGTGTTCTTCTTGATGCCATTGTCCACTATAGTCTTAAAGTTATCCATGGAAATATTCCTCAGCTTGTAACTTTGCCATCTGCATTTCATCGGTGGTCTATTTTGAACTCCTCAGTTGCTCAGGTGGACCAGATGATGGGCACAGTTCGTGCTTTAAACTTGGGAATGACAACAGTTATTGTTGAAGACACCAGGGTTGCTGGTCACACACAGGTGTCTACTTTCCTTGTTGTCCTTCCAGATTCTTTATTGTTGTACATATTACCCCTTTCTGCTGCTGGTGATCCTGTGGAAGGAATAGAACCTATTCCATCAGTATCACGCTGGTACATTGTTGCTGGCAGGCAATATCTCATTCACACAAAGGTCTTCTCACAGGGACCTGGTGCTCAAGAAATTTATATTACCAAGAATGATAACATCGAATTGCATGATACCCAGTCTGAATTCTGGAGTATTCTACCAATTGCAGATGAAATTGTTGAGAAAGGCAGATCTAGAATCTTAAAAGCAACCTCATATGGACTGGGAAAATTAATTGCAACTTTGAAATATAGTAGTGGTGATGATGGGACAAAGAAAATTCTCAAGGTTGTGCAAGAAGTGATGGTCTGTGATCAAGTGAAGTTCAGCATGGATGGTGTCTTAGGTAGAATTCTTCTTCCTTGGGCCCCTGGTGTTCATCAAGAGATGGAACTCAAGGCAACTGGTGGCTGTGCAATGTTATCAAGTGACTATAAGTGGTTCTCTTCGGACATGGCCATTGTTTCTGTATCTGCTTCAGGGATTGTCGAGGCAAAAAATCCTGGAAGAGCTACCATTAAAGCTGTTTCCTCTTTTGATTCTCTTAATTTTGACGAGGTGGTTGTTGAAGTTTATTTGCCTTCTTCTATGCTAATGCTGCCTAATTTCCCTGTGGAGACTTTGATAGGATCACATCTTCTGGCTTCTGTGACATTGAAAACATCAAATGGTGCCTTCTTCCACAAATGTGATGCTTTTAGATCCTCCATTAAGTGGAAATGTGAAAGTGATGCTTTCACAATTGTGGATGCTGGTTGGTCATTGATTTCTGACAAGCTGGGAATTCTTGACTTTGATATGTCATCACATGGCCCTCCATGTGCTTGGTCCTTTGTATATGCTGCTAGTTCTGGTCAGACAATGCTGCATGCAACAATGACTAAAGAATATCAACCGTTTGATCACTCCATCAGTAGCTCTGTTGTTCTGAAAGCATCATCACGTATTGCTGCTTATTCACCTCTTCATGTGTATCAGGCAAGTGATGGAAACCAATTTGGCGGTTACTGGGTTGATATGGTTCAGACTGTAGCCAGCAATCAACAGAATTTGGAGTACCTATATCTTGTTCCAGGCACTCATGTAGATTTGATGCTTAATGGGGGGCCTGAAAGATGGGACCACGGAGTTGAATTTATTGAAACAGTTGAAGCCACTGGTCAAGGTAACTCTGACTTTAAAGATGGTCTTGTACATAAAATATTTAACATGCATGGTAGTGCGCACAGAATAAAGTGCCAAGAAGTGGGGAACTACAAGCTTACTTTCAAGCGTGGAAATTTAATTGGAAATGATCATCCTCTACCTGCTATATCTGAAGTGCAGTTATTGCTGACATGTAGCTTCCCATCCTCAATTGCATTAATAGCTGATGAACCTGTAAATGCTATTGAAGTCATTCAATCTGTAGCTCTGGCTGAGCGCACCAATGAAAGGATCCAAACTACCCCAGTCAGAGTAGCAAATGGCCGCACGGTTCGAATGTCAGCAGTAGGGATTAGTGACTCTGGAAAAGCTTTTGCAAACTCTTCTTCTCTTCCTTTGATGTGGGAACTTATAGATTGTGATGATTTGGCATTTTGGGATGATTTAGCAACAACCCAATCAAACTGGGAGAAGTTTTTGGTTTTGCAAAATGCAACAGGACTCTGTCTTGTACGTGCCACAGTTGTGCCATCAAGTAGTCATGTGAGCCAGCATTTTATAGAAGTTCAAAATGATCTTACTGATGCCATTCCCTTGCAACTTGTTTCGTCTTTAAGACTTCTCCCTGAGTTCAGCTTATTGTTTTTCAGTCCTGATGCTAGGTTGAATCTCTCAATTACCGGGGGAAGCTGTTCTCTTGATACTCTGGTAAATGATACTAAAATTGTGGAGATAATGCAACCAGCACCTGGTTTGCAGTGTTTACAACTACTTCTAGCTCCTAAGAAATTGGGTGCTGTGCTTGTGACAGTGCGAGATATTGGGCTTGCTCCACCACTTTCTGCTTCTTCAATGGTCCAAGTTGCAGATGTGGATTGGATTAAAATTACATCTGGAGAGGAACTAATCCTCATGCAAGGAAGTATGCAGGAGATTAATTTTCTCGCTGGGGTAAGCAGTGGATTTACTTTCGATTTGTCTCAGTATGCTTATATGAGCATACACGTCCACATTGAAGATGATATAGTTGAGCTTGTTGCTAATGATCAATTTTCAAGCAATGTGGATGGGTATGTAAATATGCAAAATTTCACTGTTCATGCTGTACATGTTGGAGTTACAAACCTCTATATCAGTGCTAGGCGGCATTCTGGACATGAAATACGTAGCCAACCAATTAAGATTGAAGTTTATGCGCCACCAAGAATACATCCCAGTGATATTTTTCTTGTGCCAGGTGCATCTTATGCTCTTACTGTAAAAGGAGGCCCAATAAGTGGTGCATATGTCAAGTATTCTTGTAAGGATGTTGAAGTTGCCAAGATCCACTCATCTTCAGGGCGAGTTTCTGCAGTTTCACCAGGAAATTCCACTGTGATTGCCACAGTTTATACGAGTGGAGATCTTGTTATCTGTCAGGCCTATGGAAAAGTTAAAGTTGGTGTCCCTTCTTTAGCAATGTTGAGTGTTCAGAGTGAGCAGTTTGCTGTTGGTCGACATATGCCAATATTTCCTTCTCTTTCTGAAGGAAATTTATTTTCATTTTACGAACTGTGCAAGAACTACAAGTGGACTATAGAAGATGAAGGGGTATTGGGTTTTGAAGCAGTAGATTACTTGCATAGCAAAAATCGTATGATACCTTTTTCCACAGGAAAGGAATATGGATCCACTGGATACTCAGTAGACCATGATAATGGTTTTATCAAAGTGTTACATGGAAGATCTGCTGGCAAGACTAATGTTAAGATTTCTTTCACCTGTGATTTTTTGTCTTCTAAATCTTCATTGCGGTCGAGGTTGTATAATGCATCCATATCCATGGTGGTAGTGCCTGAGCTTCCACTTGCTCTTGGATTACCAGCTACCTGGACTCTTCCTCCTCATTATACCACATCAGACCTTTTGCCTTTATCTTTGGATTCACACAGCAAGGGGAATTCTCCAAGTCTTAAAAATTCAATCATGTATTCGTTACTTGGGGAGTGTGACAGAAAGGTGGATGGGGTGCCAGACGATGCTATATTTATTGATGAAGGTAAAATAAGAACAACAGGAAGTGGTAATCTTGCATGTATTCAGGCAAAAGATATGTCAACTGGAAGGACTGAGGTTGGTTCTTGTTTGAGGGTTGCTGAAGTGGCTCAAATAAGATTTACTGGAGAGAATTTATTGGTTCACACATTAGCCATTGGTGGTGAAGTTCATCTTCCAATTAAATACTATGATGTTCTTGGAAATCCTTTTCATGAAGCACAGGGTATTGTTCAGTATGGAGTTGAAACCAACTACCCTGATGTAGTCTCCATTGAAGATTCAGGTGACAGCAATGGAAAAATCCATCTCAGGGCACTTGGTCAAGGAAGGGCTCTTCTGCAAATAGCATTTTCTAGTAATCCACAGAAGTCAGATTATGTGGTAATTTTTGTGGGTGCTCGTTTACATCCTCAAAATCCAGTCCTACATCCTGGAAGCCATCTTAACTTCAGAGTAGAAGGTTTGGATGATCAAATTTTAGGCCAGTGGTTTAGTGCCAATGAAAGCATTGTGTCAGTAGACTTACTATCTGGAAAAGCAGAAGCAATAAGGGAAGGAACTACTCATGTTATCTTTAATAGTTCGAATGTGCAACTGCAAACTGTAGTGTCCGTGCTGAAGCAAGGTATTTTATCTGTCCATGCTCCAAATGAGACACTTACAAATGTACACATTCCTGCAAAAGGATATAGTTTCATTGTGAAACTTGATGGTTCGCACAGTCAAGATATAAAAACTGCTCAAGACACCATAGATATCTTGTTTGATTGCAAGGTGGATCCACCTATTGGGTATGTGAAGCCATGGAAGGACTTTGATACTGGTAATTCATATTGCCTTTTCTTCCCATACTCTCCAGAACATTTGGTATTCTCTAGTCCTGAGTCAAGAAGCATGGGACAAAAGATGTCTGTTTCAATCTCAGCTTCATTGAAAGGAGAGAAACACGTCTCCAGTTCTGCATCAGCACTGTTTGTTGGAGGCTTCAGCATTCTAGAAGTAGACAGAGACTCGTTACGGTTAAATCTGACATCAGGATCAATTAGAAGCATCATAACCATTGTGGGTAATACAAATGTTGAAATGCTTTGGCATGACAAGGATCGGTTATCAGTCAGGCCCATCCACAGAGATAATTCTCAGATAGGATGGCATGCTCGCTATGAGGTCAAAATTGATAAAGCTGAGAAATTTAGAGATAAATTGGTTATCAAACTCCCTGCTACCGGTCAGATAATGGAAGTTGATGTTAACTATGACCCTGAAGAGAGAGAAGCATTAGGAATATCAGCTACATATCCTAATCTCTTGTTATTAGCAGTTGTATGTATTGCTGTGTGTACATTGTGTGCTGCTATCATCCTTTATTACATGGAGCATGCTGATAGAATTCGACAGTCAAATACTCCAGGCACACCAGGTGTAGCAGCACCTATCACTCCTCAGCGGAGCAGTCCTGCTGTAGTGAATGAAGAATCTCCTCGAACACCTCAGCCGTTCCTGGACTATGTTAGGAGGACAATAGATGAGACACCATATTACAGGCAAGACTTTAGGAGGAGGGCCAATCCTCAGAACACCTTTTAGCTAACTGGATGGCATTATCCACAGGGAAACCTGTTTCCCGCGTTTCAGAATACTTGTAGCACAAAATGTAGTGAACTGTTGTTGAGCGTAGCTTTATTTCTATTCAATATTTGGTTGCAGGAATTTTGTTGTATATAAACTTTGTCCCGGACTTGGGAAATGCTTTCTTCTTGTATCTTGTACAAGGATCTTTGTATCCTGCATTTAAGAGTCAGATTTGTTAGACAACTAATCAATCTTCTAGCTTCTGCACAATTGGTAGAGTGACTAGTGGAGCTTCCATATCTGAGTCTTGTAGAAATGGCTGGGCTGGTTTTGTGCTATTGACCAGGAGGGCCTTCTTTCAGGTATGTTTTCTTTCACCTTTGATTTCTTAGCAAAAGAATGTGTGAATAATAGTCGTACTTAAGCTATTTTATGAATTACAGTAATTGCTGGATGCCAAGGAAGAGGAAGATAATTGAATATGTAGCAATTAAATTGTGGAAATGTGAACTTTCCCCGGCTGAGCTTTACTCTGTGTTTAACATTTTGAATGATTAACAGGTTGGAAGGTGAAGCTCAGATGTAATTTCTGACACAAACAACCTCCAATATCTATCAAATTAAAGTGCCTTTCTGATATGCTGACATTCATTCCATACAAAAGTTTTAATGATCTTTGTGTAATGTTTTCAATAATGGTGCATACATTCATTGAACTGATATGTTATCTGGTCCTACGTAATTTTTGTTATCAGATAACAACTATACAATGCAGTGCAACCGGGATCTGATGTTTGATTGTGTCCAGTGTTAATTGCTAGTATTTATTACATATGATATATTATGGCAGAAAGATGCAATATAGAGAGCGAGGGTTTAAATTGTTTGATGGGCGGGCCTTCCCCCATTTGGTCCGTACATCAACGCCACCCCCAAGTAATGGACGACTGAGATTGATGGGGCTAATTTAAGAATGAATTTGTGGAGTAATCAGAAATGAGAATGAGGTAATGGCAACAATGAGAGCAAACAGTGGAAAGGAAAATGATGGAAGGTTTGCACATTTGCTCGCTGTGTGATAAGTGATAATGATAATGATTGGTAAAGCATGTTTAGTTGATTGCTGACAGTTGGTCCCGAAGCCAGGACAAATTGTCCCCTCAGCTGTCAAGTCTTTTGAACATTGCCTCTCTGTCACAACATTTTCTTTTTATGGACTAAATTCATTCTTCTTCGGACACCTCAAAAATACACCTATACCTAATACTAATAGTGAAGCCATGGATGGAAGGACTTGCCCACATGGACAGTTTAATTGGTCATAATGGTGAAGTCTGAGAACAATCAAGTCTCATTAATAGTAATGTGAGAACAATCTCGAAGAGAACTCTTTGTGCGCAGCAAGTAAATATTTAGTCTCCCATATGGTTCGGTAATTTGCTGAAACTAGAGCTCTACAAGTCGCAATTGGATTGGGTGCAACTTATTTGGGCGGCGGATTGTTTCTTTTTTATTTTCAATAAAGATTTAATAAAATCATTGTAAATATTAAACAAATGGGTTGGTCAATATTAGGGAGGGAATGTGAAATGAGGCACGTTTCTTGGTGAATCCGCGAAAACTAGTTTTATAGTTTTCAGGTCAATTTGGAGAAAGGGACTCATGGCCTGTAAGGCTAGCTGTAACCTGCCACTGCATTTGACCCGTGTAGTACCATATAGGGGGATGGATCCAGTAAAATAATATGTAGCACTATTTTCATTTATTAATAATGTTATATTATTTTGGTATTTAATTTAGTTTTTGTGGGTATTTTATGATTACGTTGGGAGGAGCACGACAGGCGGTCCACATGCGACGGTCCGAATTCACATGCGCACATGTGATACCTTCTCCTTGTTCCCGCTATTGTAGTTTATACAGGTTAGGTGCGGTTACCATGTGATTATTTTTATTATTACTCCATACCAAATATTTACATTCTATAAAATTAATTTAAATTTAGTCTATGTAGTTAAAGTCGAGTTTTAGAAATTATAGGCACGAAACTGTAGAAAGCATTTCCATAAGGGTCCTGTTTGGTAAAATATTAATATAAATATTCGTAATTAATATTTTTAACTTTAAAATGTTAAAATTCAAAAATCACTTATTTAGAAAAGAAATTATACTAAATAATTATCAGTTAACAATTAATTTACCAAACACTTTTCTATAATAAACTAATGTCATCAACTAGTTATATCCTCTAATTAATTTAATTAGTCACTTACCAAACATGGTCAGGTATATACTTTGATAAGATTTTAAAACATGCAAATTTTAATTTTTTAATATTAAATTAATCAGTAATAAATTTAAGTGAAAAAAAGCCTTGACTTAATAAAAATAGAATGGAGTAATTTTTAAGTATAATGATGGAGTAGTGTAAAATATATTTAAAAAAAATACTAAAATTAAACGAATGTGGGGGAAAATATCGCCGTTTACTTCATGAATCTCCGGGGAGCATGGAATTCAGGGGCTCCTCGTTCATGACGTGGCGGGATTTCATTGGCTATGACCAACCCTCGATAAATCTCCCTCTCTTGTCACTCTCCCAGCAAAGTTAATTGTATTCCCATTTTCTTTTCATGATTGTAATAGTAATAGTAATATAATAATAAATCTAGGAAGAAGAAGAAGAAAGAGGCGTTTGTGTAATATTCTCCAAAATATGCGTTTACAGAAACAAGAAAGGTGAAGCTGAAGAAGAAGAAGAAGGCAAAGAGTGAAGAGTAGAGAGAAAGAGAGAGACTTTCCCTATTGCTTTTAAGGGTAAAGACGGCTCTTAAGCTTTGCTTGCGAGCTTAGTTTTCAGTTTCTTCCTTTTCTCGTTTCTTTCCCCACGCCAAGAAGAAACATAAATGATAAATCCGCCCGTTACACGACGAAGTTTTTCACCCCAAAAAATTTAGAAAAAAAAAAATTCTCAATTTCTTGGTTGGATCGGATCTGAATAGGACCCGCAAAACAACACAGGAGAAAAGCTGTTCCCAATACAAAATCTATCGCCTTTTCACCGGTGGTTTCTTACAAGGGCTTCCCTCCCTCCCTCTCTCTTAACCGGTCATGAAAGCTTATTAGTCTCTCATCTGCATTCTTGATCAGGTAAAAAGCCATTATTCTCTGCCTCTCTCCTTTATTACTTCCTTACTTCTCTTTGATTCTTGAGAACAAAGATCGATAAATTAAACCATGCAACAAGATAAACAATCCTAATGCTATGAACTTGTTAACTGTTGTGTCAACTACTTTTCCCTTTGAGTAAATGTTGGCATACACTTGTCGATACAGATTCTTGATTTTCCTCATTTCATGGGGTCATTGAGAAATTCAGCTCTGGTCTCTGCTAATTTTGGGTTAAACTTACTTTTTGGGTTTCTTTTGTTTGCGTGCTACTGCTGGGATTATAACATCATGAGATTAGTTGTTTCCTCTCTTATTTTGAGGATTTTATTTTTGTGCAGTGTCTGAGTTTTTGGCTATTGGCTCTTTAATTGGTATGTGATAATTATTTCATTTGAACTTGTAATTGGTCTGTTAGGCTTTTCAGTTGTTGATGGATTGAGGGTGTCCAATTAGTAATTAGATCTAATAGTGCCAATTTTCTAAAGAGGATAAAACTTTACTTTTGGCGTATAGAGTTGTATGAATAATCTTTCTAAACTGGTTGTTCTTGTGGCAGTGTCTTTCAAACTGCACAATGGAATCACTTGTTGATGGGATTAGCTCCTTGCCCAGTGGTCATAGTTCTGTAGCTTCTGCAGACTGTACTGCTTCTTTTGTGCCCAGAACAAGTCGCCCACCTCATCATCCTTCTATGAAACAATATAGAAATGAAGGATCATCATCCTCATCTTACCCAATAGCTGGTGACTTTGAATCAAAGGTTCTGCTAAGCTCAAAAGGCTCTATGGTCAGCTCAAAAGGTTCTGCTAATCATGAGATTTCTCATGTTCATGTTCAGAGTGACATAGTCTCTACTTCAGCAGGAGATCATTTGGAGTCAAATAAAGGGAAGAAGGAATTTCTGGGGGTAGAAGATTTTGTTCCAAAAGCAGAAGGTTCGTCTGGTAAGCATCTAGTTAATGATTCTCAGAATTATAAGTCAAATGAGTGTTTGGAGCCTGGGGAATTTACTACACAGAATGCTGCCAAAGGAAGTAGTATTGACTTGTTGAATGGCCAGTTACCTCCTCAATCAGGATACTGTCCTAGTCCTCAAAATAGTTTCTACTCTGCTACGCTATATGCAGAAGCCAAAGAAAGCTTCACCAACACAGAAGTGAGTGAATGTGCTAGCAGTGTTGACAAGTCTGGTGATAGTGGTGGTGAAGTTAGCAACTCTTGTGATTTTGTTGAGAGTACAAAGACAAGCGTCTATAGAGCTAGCACTGGTAGTGATGTTAGTGATGAGAGCAGCTCTAGTAGTTTCAGCAGTACAATATCTAAACCACACAAGGCAAATGATACAAGGTGGGAAGCAATTCAAGCCGTCAGATCTCGTGATGGAACATTGGGGTATAACCACTTTAGAGTATTCAAACGATTGGGATGTGGTGACATAGGAAGTGTTTATCTAGCAGAGTTAATTGGTACAAGAAGTTATTTTGCCATGAAAGTGATGGACAAGGCAACTCTAGAGAGCCGTAAGAAGCTTGTGAGAGCACAAACAGAAAGAGAGATACTGCAATCTCTGGATCATCCCTTTCTGCCCACTTTGTATTCGCACTTTGAGACAGAAAAGTCCTCTTGCTTGGTGATGGAGTTCTGTCCTGGCGGAGATTTGCACGCTCTTCGTCAGAGACAGCCAGGGAAATATTTTCCAGAGAATGCTGCCAGGTTAGGTTTTTACTTTTCCCCATTATCTTAATCTTAATATTCCAGTTGTGGCTTCCTTGTTTAAGTGTTTAATCCTAGACTTATTTTCTGCCCCCAAATTCTAGAAAGAAACACATATGCAATCATAGGATTATGCTATAGAGCATTAAACTTTATATTTCTTCTTTTGACACCTTCTGTTGATATCCTTGTTCACTTTCATAAGATCTTGCTGCAGTCCTTAAGGAATCAGGCATTGGTGATATGGAGGTCTTGGTTATATCATAAGCATCATTTCTGAAGGATGAATCTTTAGCTTTCCCCAAATTATTTCATGATGAGTTCCTATGCCACTAAGGCTGCTATCTATTTCCTTCTTCTTCTTCCTTTTTGGTTGCTAAATTACTACTTTCCTTTATATATGCCCAAGGCCATTGAGGTTTCTGAATTGTGCTTAAAGAGTGGGTGCTCCATGTTCTTTTCTTTCCTTGTCTTTTTGAGCTTCGAAATCAACTTTTTATTTTGTATGGTTAACTTTCAATATATTATCTTTTTGGTCCAGAAAAAAAATGAATTTATTTTTATCTTCACAAAAGGGTGTGATTTTGCTTTGGAATATGGGATAATTTAAATGGTGAAAATTTGATAATTTAAACTATGGTGGTGGTGGAGTTTTCTTAGGTCAAGACAAATTCTTTGACTGCTTAGTTAAGAGGTCCAATCTGTATGTTCACAATTTGTTGGTTTTGCGGTGTTTGTGATAGGTAACCAATTGGTGCTCAAATGTTGTTATGCCTCTATGATTGACTCAACACTGAATGAGTGAATTTATTATATGTGGTTACTGATTATTAGGTTGTGTTTTGGAGTGTAGGTTTTATGTGGCAGAAGTTCTCCTTGCTTTAGAGTATCTGCACATGCTGGGTATCATTTATAGAGACCTTAAACCAGAGAATGTTTTGGTGAGGGAAGATGGACACATAATGCTGTCTGATTTTGACCTCTCTTTAAGGTGCGCTGTGAGCCCGACTCTGGTTAAATCCTCGAATTCAAATATAGAATCAAAGAAATCGGGATACTGTATCGAGCCATCTTGTGTAATCCAGCCATCATGTATCCAACCGGCATGCTTCACACCACGCTTCCTTAGCAGGGCCAAGAAAGATTCAAAGAAGAAGACGAAGCCAAAGACCGAGATACATAGTCAAGTAACCCCTCTTCCCGAGCTGATTGCAGAACCAACGAATGCTCGTTCAATGTCTTTTGTGGGTACACACGAGTACTTGGCCCCCGAGATCATAAAAGGCGAAGGACATGGCAGTGCTGTTGACTGGTGGACATTTGGGATCTTTCTGTACGAACTTTTGTTTGGGAAAACTCCTTTCAAAGGACAGGGAAACCGGGCAACATTGTTCAATGTTGTTGGGCAGCCGTTAAGATTCCCAGACTCTCCGACTGTGAGCTTTGCTGCTCGGGACTTGATCAGAGGTTTACTAGTGAAGGAGCCACAGCACCGTCTTGCCTATAGGCGCGGGGCAACAGAGATAAAACAGCATCCGTTTTTCCAGAGCGTGAATTGGGCGCTGATAAGGTGTGCCAGCCCCCCGGATGTGCCAAAACCATTCATATTCCAACAGCAACAGGCGGCGGCAGCAGCAGCAGCAGCGGCGCAGAAATCTCCGGCAGCCACAAAAGGGCAAAGTGGTGTTGATGTCAAGTCTTCGGATAATTATTTCGAGATTGATTTCTTCTGATGATTCATTCTTGTTTCCTTCTTTTTCTAAGTCGCCGTCAATCACTGGACTGGACAGTAGTAGTAGTAGTAAGTAGTGTACTTTGAATTATATCATCTCCTTTTATGTTGGAAGTAAGGAATGCCAATTTGTTCTTTGTTCCTGTCAGGAGCGGAGCTGAGCCAAATGTAAAGTGCACTAGACTCTTTCTTGTCCTTGAAAATATCTTCTCTCTCTCTCTCTCTCTCATCTTCTTCCAATATATTCATTCAACCAAAATCTTCATTTTGATGTTTTCAGATTACAAAATAAACCTTTTTTTTTACTTTCAAAAAGTCAATTAAACTCTCAAACAAAAGCAACATAATATTTGTAAATTTATAACAAGAATTACAAGTATATTACATTATTATTATAATCTAATCAGATGAAATAATGATAACCAGCCAACCACCAGTTTGTGTAATCAGGTGTGAAACCAAGTTAGTTGTGTTGAAAATCAAGAATGGTAGAGTTACTATTGAACTTATAATTAGGATGTATTTAGTATGAGAGTACAAATTTGAAAGCTGAAATGTTGCAAAATTTTCTCCGCCGACCACCGACGTGACCCCATCACCTCCAATCTATTCACCTATGTGTAATTTTGCATGACCATTTGTAATCTGTGGATGTGGATCCTACTTTTGTTTCCCAATTTCCACTCTATTTATTTATTGTTTTTGACTTTTGACTATGGATTCTTTTTGCACTGTGATCGTAAAGAATGTGTCTTTCAATTCCTTCCTTAGTTGCTTCCGCAGCTTCCCCTCTCTCTCTCTCTCTCTCTCTCTCTCTCTATCTGCACCCAAGAATCATAATACGCGGTGGGAAGCTTAAATTATTCTGGGTCTCTTCGCAGTAACTAAATTCTGTGTTTTTTTGGGCTCCTTTAGCGTTCGTTCATAGTCAATAAATTCTTTATTTCCTGTACCCACTGATCTGCTATGTTCGTGGCCAGAAGATTCTAGCTCCCCTATCCGTACTTTTTACTCCAATTCCTTTTTTTGCTGATGTTTTCATTCTTTTGTTAAGGAAGCAGAAGTGCGTTTAAGAGCGCAAATTAAAGAAAGGCGTGAGCTTTGTGTGTTCTGAGTGTTTTAGTAGTAACTACTTACTGATTTTGCTGAAATGCCTGGATATACAAGCTGGAGTCTGGTTGATAAATAGATAGTTGAGCTAGGTAGAAGAGATAAATTTGGTGTGCAGGTGTTGAAATGGGATCTGCGACTGGGTTCTACACTGGAGAAGACTTCAATTTGGACTCCAAATGGTTGATTGATCCCAAGCTTCTCTTTGTTGGGCCCAAGATTGGAGAGGGTGCTCATGCCAAAGTCTATGAGGGAAAGTGAGTTGACTTTCTTCTATATTTCTTGCTATTTTTTATCTTTCAACTGTGTAATTTTAGCATTATGGAGTTGCTTATCATAGATTCATTTTGTTCTTTAGGATCTCTTTAAATCTGTCTTTGATTGGTGTTGCTGAAATTTTCTTTTTCTTTTTGTTTTTGTTTTTGGTTTGTTTCCTGGGTTCATTCCAGATACAAAAACCAGAATGTGGCAATCAAAATTATCCATAAAGGGGACACACCAGAAGAGATTGCTAAGAGGGATGCCCGATTTGCAAGAGAGGTTGCAATGTTATCCAGAGTTCAACACAAGAACTTAGTGAAGGTTGTTTGCTTTAACATTGAACCACTTTTCTTTTCTGTCAAAATGGATGGATGCAACAGTTCTGAATGAGTAATTAAAATTGTTTGCAGTTTCTCACATTGAAAATTCCTTATTCTCTACAGTTTCTTGGTGCGTGTAAGGAGCCCGTTATGGTCATTGTAACTGAACTACTTCTAGGCGGGACGCTGCGAAAATACTTGCTCAACACGCGCCCAAGGTGCCTAGATATGTGTGTGGCAATTGGGTTTGCACTTGACATTGCTCGGGCAATGGAATGCTTACACTCTCATGGAATCATACACCGTGACTTGAAACCCGGTAAAAGTTATGCTTATTTGGCTACTCTTATCTGGAACTATCTTGATTGTCCACATTGCCTTTCTTGAATCTTTAGCTTTAAACCTCTTTTGTTTGACTGTTTCTTCTACCGTTACTTAGAAGTGGATTTTAAAGCTGGTTTGTGGTTCTAAATGCCATTCAAGTTTCGCATTCTAATTGAAGTTTTGCTTCTTGAATTCTAATTTTGTATTTCATACGAATTTGCCTACAGAAAACTTGCTATTAACGGCCGACCATAAGACAGTTAAACTTGCAGACTTTGGTCTGGCAAGAGAGGAGTCATTGACAGAGATGATGACTGCTGAAACAGGAACCTATCGCTGGATGGCTCCAGAGGTAGAAAACAAAAACCGCTTCCTCTATTTACTTCTACGTGTTCTTTTTATGACTTTACAACTGAAAATTTCACCAAATGTTGTGTATGGAGGAAGCTATACAGCACTGTTACGTTAAGGCACGGAGAGAAAAAACATTACAATCACAAAGTGGATGCCTACAGTTTTGCTATTGTGCTGTGGGAGCTTATACATAATAAGTTGCCGTTTGAGGGCATGTCGAATCTGCAGGCTGCCTATGCTGCTGCTTTCAAGGTAATTTTCATTTTTTCATTTTTTTTGGTTATCAATTACTCCTTACTAGATACTATGGAACATATCTTTTTGCAACACATGGAGGTTTGATGCTTGTTTATATCAATTTTCTGCAATAATTACTTGCAACACGAATACCACATATTATTGGTTCTTTGAATCCTACCACCTTTAATTAAGGCTTCTAGGACCACTAGGACAGTTGTGCATATTTGAGTAGGTTACTTTACCATGAAATAGGAACTTAGTCTTGAAAAGGAATTGGGACAAAGAAAATCCGAGTATGCTACCCAAGAAACAAGGGTACGTGGAGAGCTCTTAAGATCGGGGGGTCCACTAATCAATTTTGGTTTTTTGTCCGACTGGAATGAACTATGGCTTTGGTAGTGACTATCTATTCATTTTTTGGCTTGCAGAATGTAAGGCCAAGTGCCGATGATCTACCAGAAGATTTGGCTGTGATTGTGACCTCGTGTTGGAAAGAAGATCCGAATGCTCGCCCCAACTTCACTCGGATTATACAGATGCTTCTGCACTATCTTTCCACAATTTCACCCCTCGAAACTCCCCCGATACCTCCAAGAATTTTCACCTCGGAGAACGCTGTCTTGCCGCCAGAGTCTCCAGGTACAAGCTCCCTAATGGCGAAGCGTGGTGACTCGGGGGATACCCCCAACGCCCCATCGGAGGATAAGCAGAAGGGTTTGTTCTTCTGCTTCAAGCAATGCTACTGATCCCTGTACCATCCTTCTCAAGCACAACGTAACCGAGGAACACAGTTTTAGCTGCAAATATATACGGAAATTTAGATGTTCTTATTAGATTCTGGAAATGAAGCTCTGCTAAGGGGAAATGAAGATGTTGCCATTCTAATTTAGTTCTGACTGAATGTTGAGCTTTTGGACACTGGAGCTAAGGTTGCTGTGATGATTATGTAGTATTGTAGTTGTAAAATGTAAAATAAGGTTTCATCCAAATGCCTTTCCTCCAATATTTTGTAAGAACATTACATTATTGACCTTTGATATATCTATCTAGTGCAGTACTTGTTAATGCTATTATATTTGGGAAAAATAAACAAATAAAAATGGTTGATTTTCTGATACGAGAGTCATATTTAGAGCATCATTGTCTATAGATTTTGGAGAGACTTTTGCAACTTTTTGATCCATGTGGAAAAGAGAGTCTCGGAGAGAGAATGGTAAGGACTTCTTGCAAGATTTAAATTTTTGATGGGTCCCGTAAGAGAGAGAAAGTAGAAGGTTATTGTCTTTGTGCGGGTTTTGCGCACATACTGCACCCGCTTGGCGGGTGCAGTGCACGCGTTAACTGCATAAAAAATATAACTACTTCTATTGAGATTGTTGTTATCTTGTCATTTCTCTCAAAATACTAATGTTATCTTTTTATCTTAAGAAGACATTTTAACATTTTTTTTTGTCTCGAGAAGCGATTTTAATGTCTTTGTTATTTTTGTGGTCTTAAAAAGACACGTTAATGTCAATTGTATAATTTATTTTGATTTTTAAGAATCTGGATATTTGTTAATCGTGTGTCTAAGAAGCAAATATAAGAGCTTGTAATAGAAGCTTCAAAGCTGTGATAAGTGGGGTATGGTGGTTATTACCTGTAATCTACAGTTGCAGCAGTAAATGTAAATCTATACGTTGGATTTAGTGAACCGCTTCTATCCTTCCAACAGCGTTATACGCAAAATTCTCCGGGAATTTTCTGTTAATTACCGAAAACCCCCCGTTACGCCGCGTTAAAACAGGGGCAACGGCGTCGTACTGGAACTGTAATAGTGTAATTCATCCAAAAATGAGTGGCAGAATCTGTGTAATGATTTATTGATTTTCCTTTTATAGCTTGGGGAGCAAGGGACAGATATTTACCATATTGACCCCTGGCTCGTTTGGATAGGTTCGGACACTGACTTAGTAAACGGTGGGCCATACCCGAACCTCCGATTCGGCCAATAGATGAGAGGAGAAGCTCGTCCATGCCTGCTTCTTCTTGGATGCCAAGTTGCCGAACCTCGAACAAAATGTAGAACAAGTTTTCCCGCTTATACACACAAGCTCACTTCGTTTCTTAGCTCAGTGGAGAAAGGGGGAGCATGACGTCTTCTTCATTCATCCTTTGAGTTTAAAAGCCATTGACTCGAAGACGCAGAGACTCCTGTTTTCTAAGGAACTCAGAATAATTAAAGGATTTCCTTTCTTGAATGCTTTGTATATGGGAAGGTGAGGTTGGATCCATGGAGTACAGATTGGTGTCATTTAATCAGTGTTTTGATTTGGGTTTGCTCTGGGATATCGAAACCCGAACGAGAAATTAAAGAGTTTTTCTTGATTCTTGAACTTCTGGGATTTTTTTTAACGATTGAGGATTTTTCCCTCCTCATAGAAAAGATGATCTTTTTACAGCAAAAACTTGATATTTTTAAGCCATGTTTTGATTAGGGTTTGCTGTAGAATGATCAAAGTCCTCCAGAAAAGAATTTTCGTGAATTTCAGAGCTTTATCTGTTCTTCTCCATCTTCTTCCCTTGAGTGTGTGTGTGTGTGTTTGAAAAAAAGGATTGCCATTTTCTGGGATTTTCTTTTGAAGTGAGATTTGATAAACTAGAATCTGGGTGTTGTATCTGGGCATTCAAATGATGATCTTTTTACAACAAAAAGTTAATATTTTAAAACCATGCTTTGACTCCTTGTTACTAGAATCTGGGTGTTGTTTGGGGGGGCACCTTGTTTTGATGACTTAGTTGAGAGAGCAGATGCTAGGATTTACAGTTTTGTTGTAAACATTGTGAAAAACACAAATGTGGATTGTAAAGGACACCATTTATTATGTCATTCCCAAAGAGGAAATTAAATGTACTAAATTCTTTGCTTTATAGATTCCAGTCCAATAATGCTTATAATCACAGTGGAATTTCACTCTGTCTTGATGCAGGTCTTGGCTTATCAATAGCAGAGGACTTGCACAAAAAGTGAGAAATGCCAGTTCCCCTGCTGAGAATCGAATCCAAGATTGTGGGGCAACCCGCGAATGCCCAAATTGTCATCACTTGATTGATAACAGCGATGTAAGGAGTTTCTTTCTTTCCTGAATTCACATTAGATAGAGTTCATGGCAAAATCTATCTTTCTTGCAATGTTATTTGTGCTTGTGTCTATTTCGAGTCGTGACTAATAAGAGAGAGTCTGGTTTTATGTTTTCAGGTTAGCCCAGAGTGGCCTGGCTTTCCTGCTGGTGTAAAATTTGAGCCATCTGATGTTGAGCTCTTGGAACATCTGGCAGCAAAGTGTGGGGAAGGAAATTCGGAACCACACATGTTTCTTGATGAATTCATCCCAACACTTGAGGGAGATGAAGGAATCTGCTATACTCATCCAGAGAATCTTCCTGGTAGGCTCTTGGCTCTCGTGTTTTTGTTTGTCATGGCATATTGGCATTGCTTGATTTCTACTTAATTGTTATGCATTTGGATCAGGTATTAAGAAAGATGGAAGCAGTGGTCACTTCTTTTACCGAACAAAAAAGGCATATGCTACTGGAACGCGAAAGCGCAGAAAGATTAGCAATGAAACAAGTTTAGTGATGGAGCATGTTCGTTGGCATAAGACTGGGAAGACGAAAGCTGTGATGGAAAATGGAGTTCAGAAGGGATGCAAAAAGGTAATGGTTCTGTATTCTACAAAGAAGGGAGAAAAGCCTGGTAAAACCAATTGGGTGATGCACCAATACCATCTGGGAATAGATGAAGATGAGAAAGAAGGTGGATATGTAGTCTCAAAAATATATTATCAGCAGCAGCAGCAGAAGCAGACTACTGATAATGCTGGAGAATCTGATATCCCGCAAGCCATTCCTACGACTCCCATGACAGCCATCCCTAATCCCCCTCGTGCTGCAGGAGAAACGCCGCTTTCTTGTGATGATTATAATGCCGCCCTGTCACCGCCTGCTGAGGTTAGCCCGCCCACATTTTCACTTTGCAATTTGCTACATTCTTGCTCATTTAATTTATATGTTCATCAATTTTATAATCTCCTGCTATTGATATATGCATATATTGGTTTCGTGTTGTTTGCTAGGAAGTGGAGGGTGGCAAGAAGGAGCGATATGGTTCTTTGTGGTCTGATGTTCAAGTGAAGTGCGAAGAGTACCCAGGATGTCTGGCTGGAGAATCACAGGCTGCTGCTGATGCAACTGACATAGATGATTTTCTGTTATGTGATGAAATTGTTGGTTCTTTTGATTTCAACAATCTGCCATCTAATCATGCGACTTCTGCTAACTTTAATCCTATGCCGCAAGAAGCTAATAACACCTCCTCATCCACCAATATTGCTGATCTTGTGAACTTGGAACTGGATTCTGCGCCCGAATTTTCTTTGCAGGATTTGCCATTTGGATCTCAAGATAGTATTTCCAGCTGGTTAGACCGCCTTTGAGCTTCCGTTTGAAGGCATTTGAGGTCAATAAGGAGTTCTAAACTTGCCTGCCATCCTAGTTAGTGTTACTGGGAAGGATGTGAGTTTGTACGAGGAATTCAGTTTTGCCTTTTTTGAGATTTGACCTCAATTCATCAACCTTCCTTCAGCTTTGGATTATTATGTTGTAAACTTAAATATATCCTTGTAAGTTGTTGCGTGGGACTGCATGCTTTTCAATGACATAATGTGTTCCTGTTTTTTAGTACTCCTTAGTATATAATGTATTGTAGTATTTATAGATTAATTAATGATGTTGTGGCATTAGATGTTCATTGTGTATGTGTTTTATATGCATTAGGTTTTATTATATCATTGTTGTCCAACCACCAAATCAATAATATGAAGTCTTTGTTCTAAAGAAAAATATAATGATTAAGTGAATAAAACATGATTCTCATATCTGATCACATTTTGCTTTTGACTAATACTTCTTAATTCATTTTATTGTACACGAACTTTCTAATGTTATTTTTTGTACTGTATCATTCAAAAGGGCAAATTATTATGTGGGTCATGGTCCATATAGTTGTGTGGACGATGAATATCAAGTACATTTTTAATATGTTAAAGAGTTAATTACCGAAATGGTCTCTTGACTATAGCAAAAATACCAATTTGGTCATTGACTATTTTTTTTTACCAATTAAGTCCCTCAACTTTAAAATTTTTAACCAATTTGGTCCTCCGTTTGTTTGACCGTTAGTCAACCGTGAACTTAGGACCAAATTGGTAATTCGTTATAGTCAAGGGACCATTTTGGTAATTAACTTTAAGGGTCGGCAATTCGGTTCAGTTTTCTCGAACCGTACCGAATCAAACTAGTTAGATTCGGTAATATATCGAACAACCGAATGATAATAGATTCTTGTATACCGAATGGTCCGGTGAAAACTCGAACTGAACTGAATTGTTCGGTAAAAATCGAATCAACCGAATACTGTTTGAACTTTAGATTGCTATTTTGTTATATATTAGACTTTGAATATGGACTATGTAAACACCATAACACATAATATAAAATTTTTGATAATAAACCATAAAGAAATCAAATAAAACATTTACGAGAGATACCTGTGAGAATATGAGCTGAACAACAGAGCAAGCAACAAGTGACTTGGATTTACTTTTTATTTATTTATTTATTATTATTATTATTATTATTATTATTATTATTATTATTATATTTTTTTTAAAAAAATCAAATGGTATTCGGTTCAGTTCAATTTTTTACTGAACAATTCGATCGGTTCGGATCAATTTTTATCGAACCGTTTAGTATACAAGAATCTAATACCGTTCGATTGTTCGGTATATTACCGAACCAAACTAGTTCGGTTCGATTCGAGAAAACTAAACCGAATTGCCCACCCCTAAAGTTAATTACCAAAATGGTCCCTTGACTATAGCGAAATTACCAATTTGGTTCCAAGTTAACGGTTGACTAATGGTCAAACTAACAGAGGACTAAATTGGTTAAAATTTTTAAAGTTGAGGGACTTAATTGGTTAAAAAAAATAGTCAAGGACCAAATTGGTAATTTCACTATAGTCAAGGGACCATTTTGATAATTAACTCTATATTAAAAGTAAATTATTTGTGTATTGAAGATGCTTTATTTGATAGTATATATAAAACAATATACTTTCAGTACTCAAATAATATACTTTTAAAAAATATTTGTATAACATATTAAAAATATATTTTTTATTTATAATTTATACAACTGTGTTGACCATAGTACATGTAATAATGATTCACTCAAATATATTTACTAATGCATACATTAAAATAGTAACTAACTTTTTTTATCATTAAAAAAATAATACTAATGTTGGACCCAACTTTCACTCTAATTTACAATATCAAGCATTCAAGCGGGATTAATTATTATTTAAAAAGAAAAAAAACATAGGGCCGGGTCAATGACATAGCTAAAACCCTCAAAACCCCTGCAAGCAAAATGACTATGGCTCATTGAGTTAGAGAACTCAATCGGCGAGTTCTTCCTCGTCTTCGATTGGATTGGATTGTTCTCGCGACGACACCGTGATGTTCCTCGCAAGAAACCTTCAACGGCACTCTGTTAGAGCCCTCACTTTTCTTATTTCCAGCAATCCCACACAGTACGTATTATTTTCGCCACTCCTCCTTCCTATTCTCAGTTCTTTCGGTTATTAATCTGATTTGCTTTGATTTGATCTCTATTGTTAATGTGTAAAACTAGGAATGCGATGCTACTAAGAGGCAATCCTGTGAAGTGGCAGCCTATCGACGGGAATTTTCGGCCAGCGTTTCGCGGAGCTAAAGAGGTGGGGCTGCAGTTTACGTTTAGCAGAATGTGCAATCGCTTTGACGGAGCTCGAGGGATGTCGGGGAAGAGTATGAGAAGCAAAGTGGAGGCGCGGCTGATTAAAGAGTCGGGCAAAACGCTAAGGGAACGTCGGAGGGCTAGTAAACTAAGGAAGAAGCTGATGACTGAAGAGGAACGACTTCTTTACAATCTAAGAAGAGTATGTTTCAACCTCCACTTTTGATACTGCATACTCTAATTCATGAACAAATGCAAAAGTTCAAATTTTGATTCACTGCAAAACTTCAGTTTTCTAGGTTCTATGAGATGTTCTGGTGTGCAATGTGTGTATTAAGACAAGAAAGATTATTTAAATTGTGATTGGGAAAGGTCATGTAGCTGCTAGCGTTCTCATGTTTCAATCTCTTTCATTAGTGTAGGCAAAGAAGAAAGTGGCGTTGCTTCTTCAGAAGCTGAAAAAATATGAGCTTCCAGAGTTGCCGTCCCCAAAGCACGACCCTGAACTTTTGACTCCCGAGCAGCTGCAGTCATATAAGAAGATTGGTTACAAGAATAGAAATTATGTACCTGTTGGTGTTCGTGGTGTTTTTGGAGGAGTTGTCCAAAATATGCATCTTCACTGGAAGTTCCATGAGACTGTGCAAGTTTGTTGTGATAATTTCCCAAAGGAGAAAATTAAGGAGATGGCATCTATGCTGGCACGGTTGAGTGGTGGTATTGTGGTTAACATTCATAATGTGAAGACCATTATTATGTTTCGTGGCAGAAACTACCGGCAACCCAAGAATTTAATTCCTATTAACACACTTACAAAAAGGAAGGTCAGTATATACCTCTCTGTGTATATTCATTTGTATCTCTCTTATCTTTTTTGTCCATTATATGTTACTTTATAGTTATCCTAGTCAGTGAACCAACTTGTTGCCTAAATTTTTTTTTTTTTTTTTTTAAAATGTTTGTTACAAAGTCATGCTTTTATTCGTAAGGGTTCCTGTTTGATAGTGGCATTGCTTGTAACTCGGCTCTACCACCTAACTTGTGTAATCTTTGGAATTTTTCTAATAATTGAAGGCTATAAATTATAAAGGCAGCTATATTTTCACATGTATTGTCAAAGTTGCAAATGAAATAGGTTTCATTGGTTGAATCTAAATAATTGCTGAATATATTCAGATGATGGATTAGATTTGTGCTATTTTTACATTTTTCTCTGTCTTCCAGGCATTGTTTAAAGCTAGATTCGAGCAAGCACTAGATTCTCAGAAACTGAACATAAAAGAATATGAACAAAAACTCCGTAAAAAGGGGGTAAATCCTGATGACCCAGTGGCCATGGCTAGCATCCAACGTGTAGCTTCCACATTCTTCAATGCCATTGACAAGAAAGAAGGAACCCCTTATGTTTTCCAAGGGGACAAAAGCAATCAAGTGGGTGCCAGCATCAGTAACATAGAACAACAGTCTGATGAAGAAAGTGATCAGGAGGAGCTTGACCGCTTTATAGCTGAGATAGAAAGGGAAGCTGATAGGGAATGGGCTGCTGAGGAAGCAGCAGAGAAGGAAGAACTTGGAAAAATTAAGTATTGGAATCAGGAGGATTTTGGTGGTCGGTTCAAAAGATCAGAAAGCAATGGAAGTGATGAATCAGATAATGAGATGGTAGGGAGGACAAGGAACTGGAATGATAAACGTGGAAGGAAGGTAGTTCATGATGACAGTGATGAAGATGGTGATGGTGATGTATCTGAGGATGATGACGGATGGGATTCTGATGATACTAGAGGAACGAGTAATTATGATACTCATAATGGAAAGTACAAAAGTCATGACAAAAGTAGTAAGCAAAACATACAAAGCTGGCCAAAACATAAGACTGGTAAGGATAGGGGTAGGGTTCAAGGAAATTCCAATATATATGGTAAACCTAAATTTGATGAAAAGATGTCAGAAGAGCCTGCTTCAGATGATATGCTCAGTGATCTTGAGAATGTCATGTGGGAATCAGATGACGGGGATGAGCAGAGCATAAAAGAATCACATGATTACCGAACCAAGCAAATGAATAAGAATGAAAGGAATGGTGGGAAGAAGAGGAATGTTAGAAAGTTGAAAGGGATGGATGATTGGGACAGTGATTAGCCAAAGCTCAATAGGTTCAATTACCATTACTAGTATCATGTGAATGCACATCAAGCAACCTTGTCAGAGGGACTTGATGGACAAAACACGGTGAACAACAGAACTGATTTTGTTCACTGGAAACAGATCAGGAATAGAGGTTTATGGATCACTTGATTGTGGCTGAGATGGATATTCATTTCCTTAGAGCTGGAGCAGAATCTTTTCTGAAGTCATTCATTCTCTACATCTGTGCTGCTTTCTTATTTATATACCGGAATCTGTAGAAATGTTATCTTGGCAGACGGGCTGCTACTATCTCTGTTTGCTTTTATGCACTGCCTTGTTTATACTTGGTGGGTTTGGGTAAATTCTATTGATTAGCGGTTATAGTGGGTGTGCTGTAAGGGAACAATATTGGACACCACAATGCATGAAGAGTTTTTATTTTTTCTGTAAACTTCTTTACCCTTAGAAATGGAAATCTTGATAACTGAGTCTTTGAATCTTTCATTTCATTAGAAATAGAAAATTTTCTTTGGTAAATTTTGCTGATTTTAGTGTATATGTCTGATTGTCTGGGAAGCACACATTATACAACTTCTCTGGTTTAGAAGTTAGAACACGAAGTTAGAACACTCTTACACCAGTCAAGAAACAGTAGCCTAAGTTCAAATTCCATTTACAATTTTACATTCACAGAAAAGACAGTTTCAAACAGAACTTGAACACAATTTATAATAGGAATACATGTTACTCTCTAGGAAAATAGGGGAAACAAAAAATTTCCTGCTAAAAAAAAAAAAAAGTGAGAGAAGTGTCATTTAAGTTATGATCTGGTCTGAAGATCATTGAAACAATATGAGAAATGTAAGCAAGTTTCTCTAAACACTAAGCGAGACTTCTTCCCCTAAGCAAGATCCTCACTCGAAGAATTTGTAAGCCATTGGCCTGTAAGCATGTCAAATAATCACTACCCAGCAACACAGTTAAAGAACTGACTGACCAAGAAATCCATGCGTTTCCCTTCGAAAATACCCTAAGTTTTGTCGGAGATTAAGGTACTATGACTGACAGAATACATCCACACCAGTCAGCAAGTGCACGATAAAATATCATCATGGTGCAACATAAACCTCCCAAGTCAAGAAATAATGCCCCACTGTAGAATACAAACTTAGCCAGCTTCTCTTTTGCAATTTCCGGGTAGAAGATATTGGTACTTATCAGCATTGTTCAGCAAATAAGAAGGAAGATGAACTGCAGAATAAAAATGAGGAATAGGGCCCATTTTCCCAATAATGTCCTTGAAAGTATATTCCTCTGGAATCATGTCATACAAATCCGCCCCTTTGCAAATGATGTCTTGAATCCTTTTGGGGTCAAGAAAATGTGAAAACCTTACCCGATCAGTGTGGCTGTAAGCTTTCATCTTGAATATAAAATCACTTATGTGGCGGAAACAAAAGCTACAGTGCCAACCAGAATCTGCTAAAAGGTAGTCAGTTTGACGAAAGTGTGCATACCTAGTCTTTCCACTCTGATACCTATGAACAGAAGCTCTCCAGCTGCTCTGATCAACTAAAAATTCGAAAGAGTACAAATAATTCTTCAACTGAAGATGTAAAACTGGGGGAATATCATCACACCATCGTAGAAGGTTAATTGTGTGCCTGCTGGGGATCTCATCAACATCAGACATTATGAGCAAATCATCGTCTTCTATACCAGCTATTCTCAAAAGCTGGTCAAGCGCTACTCTCTGATATGCCTCCTCAACAAATGGATTTTCACCCTTCCTAAACCTACCCCCAGCTGTTCCATAAGTCAAACGAGGCTCAACAAATTCAAACTTTTCCCGGTTCATTGCAAAAACATGGGGTTTGGGCAAAGCAGTAAACGTTGAGTTCGATTCAAGAAGAACAAAACGTGTAACGTACGGATACAATTCTTGCCACCTGATTGCAAGCATGTCTACTTCATTACTGAAAAGAACTGCATCAAAGACACGCCTTGGATATTCACGGATTCCCCAACCATGTAGCTTGCAGAGAGTCTCCATCGACACATTCTCATGATAATAGTGAGTTACATGAATGAATGGCTTAGGAGGAGACTGCCAAAGTGGCCGGAAGAAATAGGAAATCTTCTGTCCATGTACATATATACCGAGCACACATGTTGGAACAACTACAACCAAAAAGATAATAGTCCTTAAATCCAGTCCTCGGAGCACGCACCTTAATCTTGACATGGTCGGTACACCAGGGTATTCCTGCTGCATAAGAACGCCAATATGATCAAATGCCCAAAACAGTCGAGCAATATGGGAAAAACAGAGTCCTGAATTGTGTGTGTGTCTTTGCAAAATTAAATTCCAGTCAGTTCCAGAAAACTACATATATTCAACTATTTAAAAGGTTTGATACTTGAAATGTCAAATTATCATTAAATGTCCATAACTACACCTTCAAAGCATAGGTATTTCTTTAGCTTCTCTTAATACAACATAAAAGCAATATTGCAGTATAGTACGGATAGTATTTTCTAATAGAACGGTCCCACTGCATGGAAAAAACATCCCCAATCATAAAGGGTTGAGATTATAGCCTGCCTTGACTTCAGAATTAAACAAAATAAAGCCTCAGAAAGGGAAAGAATAAACAAAGATATCTGGAGAACTGGAAAAGAATACAAAGGAGTTCCTAGAGGCTAGAACAAGACATGACCCTCAATTCAACATTCTAATGTACAAACAATCTGCAAAATTCCAACAATTTCGAGCATAAAACAAAGACATGTTTTATATTATTCAATAAAAACTGGAAATTATCGATACCCACTTCCCAATACACAAACAAAGAAATAACAACAAACCCAACGAATCGAAAACTTCAAATTTACAGTGACGAATGGCTTACGCAGCAAAGATTACGTTTTGATTTTTGAAAGGAAAATAAAAAAAAAAAAAAAATGTGGATCAATGAATACCTGGCCGCAAACATCTTCACATATATCGTCTCTCTTCTTAGAGTTATAATAGTCACCGGAAATCATGAGGACCCCAATTCTCAAGAACTTTCCGAAAATGCCTGTTCTGGAACCTTCGTTCTCCCCAAATTATATCCTTTTACGGACACAAAAAGCAGAGAAACTCAAAGACATAGAATGGAAAACCCCGATCAAACCCCAAACCGCTAAATATCGTAAAGAAAATGCGAAATTTTGTACAAGAAACGTTGTTGTTGTTGTTATTGTTGTGTTATTCTCTATCGTTCTCCCCCAAATGGCATCGGTTTAGCGGTATATACAGGTTGATTCTCTCTCTTCCTATCATGGAGTTTCAGGGTGGGAAGAGAGAGTATAAATAGGGAGAGGGAATGATGAAGATTATACTCTTATGATTCCAATAATAAAAAAGCCATATATTGGAATAGAATCGAACCAATGACCACGACTATTTCTATACGGACATCCCCACCTTGTATACTTGGTATATATATTCCCCTGCATCTTAATTTTATCCATTCCTAAAAAATAAACTATTTTTTTAAATAATCGCATCCATTATTTTGTTTTATCTTGTAGAGAGTATTTGATTGGAAGGAGAGAATTAAGGAAAAAATGAATTCTGCAGGCTTGAACCTTAGTTGATGGTATCAAGTTATCAACTATCAACAACTGATTTTGAATCACTCTCAAAAATGGACTGTGTGCCACCACCAAACACCTCGGAGTAACATTTATCTTTTTCATTAATATATTGAGATTTTTTAAAAAAAAATATGAAAAAATGAAAGGAGAATAATCGCACCAAATAAATAGACGGTCTAGTGTTCAAGTTGAGTGTCTAGTGATAATAATACTAATTTCTTATACAAAATCATGATGCTATCTATATAGTCTGTGCATGTCATTTGGTAACTAACACAAGCCTTAAGGATGCACTAATGTCTTTGATAAAGAGTATAACGTCCTTAAGGTCAATACCCCATGACTGATTCTATAAATGAATCGACTCTATAACATTATCAACTAAGGCTAATTCTATAAATGAATCAATTTGTGAGTCACGTAAACATGCTAAAATCTTTACTAATTAACTTATCAATTATTAAAAGAAGAACTTACTTTATACGCAATCAATGACACATGCATGCATACATTATTTTCAAAAAATCACACATGCATACATCATTATTTATGAACATATACATACATCGAATGCACTTTATATTCAATTTATTCATAATTCATTATAAATGATCTAATTAATACCAGTGTTCTAGTAAATTAAAAACAAGGATATAAATATAAAATTTAATTTGTTATTACGAATTAATTGTGAGTAAATTATAAGATATTGAATAACACAATCAATAATACTAATATTGTAGTGTGATCATTAAAAACATGATTAAGAGGAGAGGAGAGGACAGGTGGGAATGGGAAGAAGAAAGCTAAGTGTAGGTGCGGTGCGTGTCCGGTGAATGAATAGAAGATGGAAACTACATAGGATGGATGTTTGTTAGTTGTGGCCATTATGCCCACTAGGCACTAGGTATAGCCTATGGGCGTCTCATCAAATTAAAATTTGGTTTCACAGTTTTTTTACTATTTCATTTTAAGTGGACATATAATATAAATATATAATATTGATGACCAAGTCCACATTATATTATATAGTTTGCCATTTCGAAGTCAACCCTCTTGATTGACTTGGTCGAGTCCAATTCATGTATCCATATATGTCAAACCATATGCCAAAAACTAATTAAGCTAGCTATTACTGATTTTTAAAGTAGCATTTAAGTGATGACATGTTAGCTAGCATCCAACCAAGTGCAGTGGTCAAATCTTCTTATTAACTCATTTATTATTACAATTACAATGAGATCAGTATCATACATATCCCAATTAATTTGTCTTTAATAATATAATAATAATAATAATAATTTATTTACAAATTAATTAATTAAATTCAACTCGAACTCAATCTTGAACCATTGCACATTACATTTTATAAATATATACAACTTGCATTGCATAGACATATATACGGTATGTAAAGACATTCGCAATAGTCAAGCATTAGTATCCCAAATGGTTAAACTATTATTAACCCACTAATTAATAAGGTCACAAAAGATAGATCATATTGTTTAAAGTTAACCAACTCAAATTAAGTATGTTAATAATAATTAGGTTATCAAACCAACTATCGAACTAATTCAGTTGGTACGATTGTCCTTAATTAGTGTATATATACACAATACAGATTGGATTTTGATTTTGTCAAACATATAGGCAGTGGACGTGAAGTATGGTTCGTGGACTAGACCAGAAGTAGTTTTAAATTAAAACTGAACTAATTGGAATTTGGGACACACTCAATAGATAGCTAGAGTGTATGTATATGTATGTATGTAGGGTGTGTGCATAATCCATATATATTAAAAATGGGGTAGTGGCTAGGCTGTACCAGTTGGAGC